ACTGCTGAGGAACTTAGTTCTACATCACGGGCTCGCATTTTGGCCTGACGATAGCTTGCAAGCACGAGCTGATGCTTGCTTTGCAGCTCGAGCTTGCGTCGTCCGGACCGCCTCACAAAAGAAACTGCACTCTGCATACGCGGCTGTGCACGCAATCCAAGGCCTCAAGTTGGAGAGAAACTCTTCGTTGTGAAGACCGTCCGCACTCGCTCCTCACCGGAGGTCACATGGCTAGCATGAGTGCTCTTCGACCTCTTGTGCTATGAGTATTGTCATCATTCATGGTATTGTTATTCAAAGCTCTCCTTGAAGGATCATGGGACTTAGCAGCTAGGGTTATAAACAAAGTAACTATACTTATAATTGCTTATAGCCCCACTAGGGTACATTGTTTAAACTACTAGTAGTGAGATTGCTATTCTTATTCCTGCTCGTATTGTTGTTCTTCTTCTTACTATTACTATTATTGATATTATTATTGTCTTTTCATATTCATATGCCTATTATTACTGTTATTCGTATAATTGTTTTTGGAAATATTACTAGTAGTGAGTGTCGGCATTAGCATTAGCAGTAGGCTTTCAGATCAGGCTGGCCAGCCCAGTCGCTTCGAACTTCGAACTGTGAAAGATACGGCTGATGATATAAATCCTGGGGTTCCTTTAAAGGGCTCTATAGGGGTACCTTTAAGGGGTTCCGTTAAGGGATCGATAGGGTTTAGGTTTTAGGGTTGATATAAATCCTGCATTACCCATCATGAGGCATATACCATAATTCCCATAGTCTAGGGTCCTTAAGGTAATGCAGGATTTACAGTCACAGATCCCTAATAGAAACCTTTTAAATAGAAACGTAAAGCACCCTTTGCGTAACTACTTCCCATGGTCCTTTAAGTATTATAGGGGACTGATTACCTGCATTAAGGGGTATCATCAACCGTAGGCACTGAAGATGAGGACCTTCGTGATAACACCGCTGTGGGTTGAGGGTTTAGGGCTTAGGATTTAAGGGTTAGGGCTTAGGATTTAAGGGTTAGGGTTTAGGATTGAAGGTATAGGATCTAGGATTGAAGGTTTCGGGTTTAGGGTCTAGGATGGAAGACTCAGGGTTTAGGGTTTAGTCTGGGGTTTAGGGGCTTAGGTTTGGGGTCTATAGGGTCTTTTTGATGCCGGCGTGGTGACAAAATTGCTAGACATGCCACTCAGGGAAGAGCAATGACAGAAACAAGACTAGCAGTAGCCGCGTTCGAAACAGTGGTGACAGTAAGCAACAAAAGCCACGGTCAGCAACGTTGTTACCGCCACGAGTGGTTCTCAAGATTATTCATGCAAACGGTGGCAGCATCAGTGGCGCTAACGCCATCATCTTCAGTATTCCCAAGATCATACTCAGTGTATGGACGTTTCAGAAAACAGGGTACCTACGAGTGGACCCTAAACAGCGAACCATTGTTAAGCAGGAGAAGCTGTCAGCCAGCTGCACACTACAACAGCCATAGATTCTAGAGAATGCCCCAGAAAGCCCTTACGACAACTCATGAACCCGTTATACAAACAGATGAAAAGCAGCATCAAACTCCCGCGATGCTTTGTGACTACAACCATGACAACCTAGATCCAAGACGCTAAGCCTTGAACCCTAAACTAGCAAGCTCCTGTCTGCTGAATGTGTCCGATGCTCGCGATCTCCGCTTTGGAAGAAAGACCACGGGCCTGGAATGAATTCCAGTGGCGGGTTTGAGTCTACCTATAGTCTCCATTGTAGTTCCTTTTTGGGGTTACCTTATAGGATCCTAATTCTATATTTGGCTAAACCAACAAAAGGAACTACAATGGAGACTATAGGTAACTTCTAAAGTATAGTTTTAGTTGAGGGTCTAGCATTTTAGAGTCTGTACGGCCCAAGCTTGAGGGCTTAGGGCTTTAGAGTGCTTGCGGCTTAGGGTTTACTAGTCAGTGTTTGTTCAGGATATTCAAGGGTACTGGTGATGTAAAAGGGGGTGGGCACAGCAGACATGAAAGACACAAATGCGGCCAGCGCCTAAAGCCTAAACCCTATAGACCCTAAACCCCTAAACCCCTAACCCCTCAACCCTAAACCATTATATAAATCCTAAACCCTCAACCCTAAACCCTAAACCCCTAAATCCCTTAAACCCTAAACACTCTAAATCCTAAACCCCTCAACCCTAAACCCCCTGAAACCCCTTAAACCCCTAAACCTTAAACCCCCAAACCGTTGAACCACTGGATCCCTTATAAGAAGCCTGATGGGTCCCTTCAGAGGAACCCTAAACCCCTTAAACCCCTACCCTAAACCCTAAACCCTAGCCAGCGCCTCCTTGAGGTAAGCTACCAGTCGCTCCAGGTCCTGCACTCAACAAGACATCAACGCCCTAGACACTCCAGGGTACTTTTATTAAGGAATACCAAAATGTAAGGTGTATTCCTTGATTAAGGGGTCTTGGAGTCTCCTGAACCCTAAACCCTATAGATCCCTTAAAGAAACCCTACTTGGAGGATCAGGGGACTTCGTAAGTAAGGTTATAAGTCCCCTAATTGGGGTTATACTAAGTAGGGGTTCGGAGTTCGGGTTGCGGGCCCCTTACAGGATGCCTGGGGCTTCAGGGTGTCAGGCGTATACTGTCATAACTATTCTTAAAATTTCGGGCGCCCTTGCACTAAATCCTTGTAATAGCCCTTATAGACACCTTTCAAGGAACCCTAGTCTAATTATCTGGGCCTTAAACCCCCATAAATACCCCTTACAGTAACCCTTACAACACCCTCTTTAAGCGTTTTAAGAACCCTTTAAAGGAAGCCTTTTACAAATAATTAAGGCCCCTATAGTATGGCGCGCTGGCCTCAATCTGCTGCCGGGTGAAGTCAATGCTCGCAAAAAGCCTGGAGGAGTCCGCTGCCACGGATGTCAGCTGCTTCCTCACATCAGAACAACGAGAAAACGCTGTCTGTATATGTATATATACATACAATTACATATGCATATATATATATATATATATATATACATATATATATATATATATATATACATATATATATAAATGTATATATGCATATATATATATATATATATATATATATACATGTTTATTTATTTCCTTATTATATGCTGCTAGTATTAATTGATTAGCAGTACTCGTCTTATTAGTTAGAATTCTATGAACCGTCAGTCCACTCGACAGTATTGAACTTGCTTGGCGAGACCATATGGTCTGCGCCTGATTGTGTGCCGCCGCAGCCGCGAGCTTCGCAGCTGGTCTTGCAGTCCCGATGCTGCGTCCTGCATCTTTGCATGCACTTTAGGGGTACAGGGCCGTTTGAAAGCTTAGGGTTTGGGCTCTAGGTCAGAGACAAGTAGAGTAACTTCGAGGCTTGTCAATGTGCCATGTCACCTCAAGCGGTTGTTTTGCTTCGCGAAGGATCCTTGAGAGATCTGAATCAAACCCGAGAACTCCTCGATTGTGGGCCAAGGGCCTGCTGGAGACCCCTATTCTTAAACACCCATCCCTTTATGAAGGACTGTACTCAGGATGCTAACAAAAATCCCCCCAAAACGAAAGGGGTGCCTTGCAACGGGGAGGATGTGTATGGCCGTTGGGCCGGAAGCTCTCGGGTTTGAGGAATGCATCGGCCAGCTAAAGTTTGAAAATCCACTCCGTCTGCGGGAGCAGCGCTGGCACTGGCATGCGTCACAAGGTGAGACGGACTTACACGGACCAAGATTTCCATTACCACCACCATCGTCCTCAGCCTTATCATCAGGAGTACCTTTGTCATCAGTACGGCTGATCAGAAGATTGTGCAACTTGCTGTTATTTTCATTCTCACTTTCATTATGAGTACTGCTGTTGCCATTGTTATTAGCATGATACTGCTGTTATGACTGCTAGTTAGTATTGCTATCCCTACGATGAGTACTGATAGTGATTATCCGTCTGATTTTTGGTGTTGCGATAAGTTGTATAGTTATATTACTGCTATTCGTACTCTATCTGTTGTTGCTACTGCTATCACGATGATAATCACTTTCTGTTACTAGTGCTCTACCACTCGTACACTTGCGATTACGATTGCGACTACGACCCCGACTATGACTACGACCCCGAGCAAGAGTTCGAGCGCGGGTGCGACAACGACTACGATTATGATTACAAGTACGACTATACGTCTACGACTGCGGTTACGAACGAGGATTGCAATTACGATTACGATCACGACATATGGCAACTGAGACTGCGGCTGCGACTACGACGTGCCAGTACGATTGCCACTGCGACTGTAGTTAAGACTACGATGACACGAATACTACAACAAAGACAACTACTACTCTGCTGCTGCTGCTACTACTACTGCTGCTGCTACTACTACTACTACAACGACGACTACTACTACTACTACTACTACTACTACGGCTACAACTACTACAACAACAACAATTACTACTACTACTACTACTACTACTACTACTACTACTACTACTACTACTACTACTACTACTACTACTACTACTACTACTACTACTACTACTACTACTACTACTACTACTACTACTACTACTACTACTACTACTACTACTACTACTACTACTACTACTACTACTTACTACTACTTACACTACTACTACTACTACTACTACTACTACTACTACTACTACTACTACTACTACTACTACTACTACTACTACTACTACTACTACTTACTACTACTACTACTACTACTACTACTACCAGTACCAGTCTACCGCTGCCACTACCACTACCACTACCGCAACCCCTACCCCTGCCACGACCCCTTCCCCCTACTACCCCTGCCACTGCCACTGCCACTAAGACTACCACTTCCACAAGCACTACCAATGCTCCTACCACTACTACTACTACTACTACTACCACCACTCCTATTACTACTCCTGCTGCCTCTGCTTTTACTTCTTGTGCCAGTGGTGATTGCTCTTGGTCCGAGGGCGCTGAGATGCCATCAGCCCACTCTTTGCACTAGAGCTTCCAGCTCTCGATTGAGTCTTGGCGAAAGATTATCGTCAATGAGACGTCGTATTTTCGCGGCATACCTTGGCAGGGTGCAGTTTAGGGTTTAGGGTGTTTAGGTTTAGAAGACTCCGGCTCAAACACTGACTTGGCCCTTTCCGGGATTCGCCGAATGCCCGAGTGTCAACAAGCCAGGATACTCGGGCCCCTGTACTGGTAGTGGCCGACCCGTCTTCGGGTCATGGAATCCTCGGCTTTCCCGAAATTGCAAGCCGAGATTACTGCATGGTCCTGGTTCTGTTCCCCAAAACCCTAAACCCTGACCTGAAGAACCCTAGTAAGAACCAGACGTTTAGGGTGTGAAGCACCCTAGATAACTGAAACAGATTCCTACACGACCCCACACTCCAGAAGCCATAGACTTAAACCTCAAAGCCCACATGATCCTCTGATTCTCTGCTGGAATGGCCGAGTGTCGAAGAATGTACACAGGAGGAGAACTGCCGTTCATGCCGTCGTCGGAAGTTCCGCTCTGACCTGCGACAGACACGCCCGGACTCTCCTTGATGCTGCAGATCAGCGGGTCCGCCACTCAAATTGCCCTCGACCTCTCATCTTAACCCTCCCAAACCCTAAATTCCAAAAACCGGAATCCTAAAACCAGACAACACAGAGACAGAAACCGTAAACCCTGAAACCCGGAATCCTAAAGCCGGACAACCCTTTGTCCTCTCGCTGGAAATGCAGGATCTGGAGAGGGAAGTGCAGGTTCTGGAGAGGAAATCCTAGTTCGTGGTTGGGGTAGGAATATTTTCTATTCTTTATTCCTTATTGGGTTTAAGTACCCATAAAGATGTAAAATGTTACCCAACTATGACAAAGAATCCGTGGACTGGACACGCGCTCGCAGGCCAAAGCTTCGCCTTTGCCTGCAGCAAGGGCCGGTAGCACTTCGTTTGGGCCCCAGCACTTAAGCCCTGAACCCTAAACCCTAAACCCCTAAACCCCTAAACCCTCAACCTCTAAAACCTGACCTCTGCAGCTGCAACATGCGGGCAAGAGGCGTTTTTGCGGTGGTGGGGACTGAAGGGCAGGCTTTCCAGCCTTTCCAGCCTTTCCAGCTGAGACTTGTATAGGGGCCTTAAAAGATTAGAATAGGGCTTCCTTTACAGGGATCTTTCAAGGGTTCTATAATAGGGTTCTATATATAGGGGCCTTCATAGTCAGAATAGGATTTTGGGGTATAGTAGTTTATGCTATAAGTATATATAAGGAACCCCCAGAAAAGTACAGCTCATTATCAGGCCCCTGTATTAAGCACCTCTCAACTCTAAGAATAACTCGAACTTGCTACATTCTATTTTGTCATGTTGTATGAGCTGTCATTGTTTATCTGTGTATATATATACCACGTATTATGTCATCTACTATACGTTATGTCGTATGCACTTACCTAGAGACCCCAACATCCCTTGATTAAGGAATATTTCTTAAGTTATACTAAGATCCCGAATATGAATTAAGGTATGTTCCTTAATTAAGGGATATTGGAGTCTCTGGGTACTAAGTCCCATGATCCCCCAAGTAGAACCTAAACCCTATACCCTATAGATCCCTTTAAGGAACCCTATAGATCCCCCCTTTAAGGAGCCCGATAGATCCCTTTAAGGAACCCTATAGATCCCTTTTAAGGAACCCTATAGATCCCTTTTAAGGAACCCTATAGATCCCTTTTAAGGAACCCTATAGATCCCTTTTAAGGAACCCGATAGATCCCTTTAAGGAACCCTATAGATCCCTTTTAAGGAACCCTATAGATCCCTTTTAAGGAACCCTATAGATCCCTTTAAGGAGCCCTAGTTACTAAGTCCCATGTTCCCCCGCATACTCCGGTTCAGGCCTTGCTTTCGGGACGACGGAGTTTCGCACTGTGGATCTTGGACTCCTGCGGTGCCACGGTTGATGATATAAATCCTGGGGTCCCCTTAAAGGGATCTTTTATAGGGTGCCTTTAAGGGGCTTCCGTTACGGGATCTATATAGGGTTTAGGGTTTAGGGTTGATGATATAAATCCTGCATGACCTTAAAGACCCCAAACTATGGGAATTATGGTATATCCCTTATTATGGGTAATGCAGGATTTAGATCTTGGATTTAGGGTTCCTGCGTCTGGAGTCAATCTTTGTTTAGGGTTGAAGGGTTTAGGGTTTAGGTTTTAGGTTTTAGGGTTTAGGGTTTAGGGTTTAGGGTTTAGGGCTTAGGGTTTAGGGTTTAGGGTCTAGGGCTTAGGGTTTAGGGTCTAGGTTTTAGGTTTTAGGGTTTAGGGTTTAGGGTTATACTGCCGTGCCAGAGTCACAGCGCCTACTACGCGCCTGCCGGGCTTCAGCTTTGGGGCTTTTCTTGGCGTCTGTTGCTAGATCTTGTATATTGCAATAGGTTACATGTTACATGTTATATGTTATATGTTATATGTAATATGTTATATGTTATATGCTATATATATATATATATATTATACGATATATTGCACTAACTGCTGTATATGGGTGTCTATGGGCTGTATTTTGGGGAGCTGTGCGCAGCAAACGCCGCAACTTCAAGAATGTCGGCCTTGAAGTCGTTCGCCATTTCCGTGACCTCTGCTTGGCTTTCTTTCACCTGGCTGGCAGAGCGATCGGTGGCACTCTGCAGAGCAGAAAATGTAACATGAATAAATAGAAGCCCATTACAGGTGGGTAGTTCCTCTTCCATAGTACTCCCATAAGACCCCTTTACCTTATAGGAGTGGTATGGGAGGCTTATGGGAAACTACCCACCTAATAATTAACTACCCACCTGTAAATGGCTTAGAATAAAGCGGCCTGCGCCTGCAGGTCTTCCACCTTTGACTGCAACGCCTCACGCGCCTTCAAAGCGAACAGGTCATCTGCGGGTCTAGGGTTTAGGGTTTTGGGAGCAAAGTGTAAGCTTCTGCTAGCTGCTAGCTGCTGGCATCAAGGCCTGCGTCACGGAAGCAAGCTCGGTTTGCTGCTCCTGCACCTGCAGCAAAAGCCGGCAATCCAATCGGCCCAGCATCACACATGCTATGCGACTGTGTCTGCAACTTTCTGCAACATCAACCCTAAACCCTAAACCCCGAAACCCTAAACCCCTCAACCCCTGATCCCTGATCCCTAAACCCTAGAAGCCCCTAAACCCTTAAAAAAGCCCCGAAACTCTAAAGAAGCCCCTAAACCCCTCAACCCCTGATCCCTATAGATCCCTTATACAACCCTTATGGGTCCCTTTAACGGAACTCTAAAACCTTAAAAAAGCTACAAAAGCCCCTAAACCATATGGATCCTTTAAGGAACCCTTATAGATTCCTTTAAGGAACCCTAATAGATCCCTTTAAGAGCCCTTGCGCGCCTGCAACCTCGAGGACTGCAGTTTGGACTCGAGCTCGAGGTTCGTGGCCTCGAAGCGACGAAGAGCAACAGCCGAGAAAAAGGCAAAGCACCGGTGCTTTATGGGCTCCTTTAAGGGTTCCTTTAAGGGTTCCTTTAAGGGCTCCTTTAAGGGCTCCTTTGAAGGATCTACAGGGGTTTAGGGGGCTTAGTTGTTTAGGGCTTTAAGGTTTGAGTTCATGGTTTAGGGGTTTAGGGGTTTAGGGTTTAGGGCTTAGGGGTTTAAGTGTTTTAGGGTTTAGGGGTTTAGGGTTTAGGGGTTTAAGTGTTTTAGGGTTTAGGGGTTTAGGGGTTTAGAGGTTTAAGTGTTTTGGGGTTTAGGGGTTCCTTTACAGGTTCCTTTAAGGGATCTACAGGGGGTTAGGGGGTTAGGGGTTTAGGGGTTTAGGGATATAGGGCTTTAGGGCTTAGGGGTTTAGGGGTTTAGGTGTTTTAGGGGTTTAGGGGAGGGGTTCGAGGTTGAGGGTCTCAGGGAGGCTCCCAAGTAAGGGACCTTGGTAATTCGAGTAGGTGTTGGGGAGTATGTTACACTTGAATCATAGTGACGGAACCCGAAGTTGAGGAATGATGTTGTTAAATTGAGAGTTTAGGCTTAGGGTCTATTGAGGGTTTATTTCGGGTTTATTGAGGCTACCACATTAGGCATGCTGTGCGGACATACTCACAATGAAAGAAGGCTGCCCTGCCCCGTGAACGCAAACGCAGTTTCGATGCCGCAATATTTGCACACACCCCTCCGGGACGTCCGAAAACAACCTTCTACATTTCCGAGCTTGATTCAAGGTTCTATGTACATGTTTGCACATATGCATGCGAGCAGGCAATTGCTGGATGGGCGGATGGATGGATGGCTGGCTGGCTGGATGCGTGGATGGATGGATGGATGGATGGAGGGAGGGAGGGAGGGAGGGAGGGAGGCAGGGAGAGATGGATGCATGGTGCATGTATTTTGCGGCAAAACTTCTTTCGTCCGAAAAGTAGTATCACTCGCAACAAGAATACGAACACTTACAGCGATAATCAATATAACCACAACAAGCATGAAGCTCATACTGCAGTTGTGAGCATGTGAGAGTGATAACTGCCTCTATCGGCAACCCTCGCTCTCATCTTCTCGATTTCATCTTCCCGAATCCGAACCTGTCTCATCTGTACGTCCTAGAGGTAGGGGGGAGAGGGGTCAGGGACTGCACTTCCTTAAAAGGCCTTTCTAGGTCCTTATTATGGACGTGAAGGCCCCCTACCCCCTCTCCCCCTACCCCCCTAGGGTCCCTATGAGTACGGGACTGCCGAAAGTTCTGCACTACTGGCACTTGGCCCGTCCCAAACTCGCTGGTGCTTAGCAGAGAATGGGGGAATAGGTTATGGGGACTATTATAGGGATCCATTCCCCAATTCCCTATTCAGCACCAGGGAGCAAAAGCTGTCCTTGGTTCGGCTAAGGCTGGAAGACAGCTTACGAATCTACATCTATTTTGGCAAGCGTTTGTTTTAATCTGTACATCACTTTCGACTCACGTGTGAGGGAGAGTGGGAGAGGTTGACAGACAGTTGCAAAGCGCAGCCAGAAAGACAAACACACGGATAGATAGTTTTGTACACCAACAGACAGGTAAAAAGGGTGCCCAGTCATTTCAAGGAACCCCATAAACGATGCGAAAGCCCCAGAAAATCCCTAAGTCCTAAACCCTTAAACAATGGAAGTCCTAAACCCTAAACCCTTAAATAATGGAAGTCCTAAACCCTAAACCCTTAAATAATGGAAGTCCTAAACCCTAAACCCTTGAATAATGGAAGTCCTAAACCCGGCTGCAGGCTGTGCCTGCAGTCTCTGCATCGTGGAGGAAAACTCTTGGAGCTCACTCTCTTTGTCGCTTGCCTGGACCAGTTAGGGGGAGGGGAGAAGGGGGGGGGGTTAGGGGCCACGGTTAGGGTTTAGGGCCTTAATGCCAATAATAAGCACCTAATAAGGCCGATTTCAGGAAGTATACTCCCCCCTACCCCCCTAAGGGTCCCTATGACTCATTGCTAACCGATGAAGGCAGGTGGGGTATTCCCAACTAAGAGTTCTTCTATAACATACTTCCCCTATAAGCCACGGAAATAGAAGGTTGAACTTTCCGGTTACTACTAAACTATAAGAACCCAAAAAAGTTTAAAGGTTTGGTATTGGGGAACTAAGATAAGGGATCCTTCATGCTACCTACCTTCATCCCACCGGTTGAGGCCTCCGATGCCCGAACCAGTTTATTGCTAACGGGGGCGTCATTTTTTTCTGTGTGGTCATTGTTATGAGAAGCTTTACAACTGGCATTACTAGTTTTTCGGTAAGACCTTGTTGTGTGATCTTGATGATGAAGATTGTAATCCGTCCCACTTCCCCGCGTCCTTCAGCTCTTCAGCACTTGCTGTAGGATGTAGGGTTCTGGGGCTCTGAAGATTAAAGGTTCAGGGGGTTACGGGTTTAAAGTTGTGGCCTTGCTTTGGGCAGCAAGGAGCTTCGATTCGAGGCCATCGATCTGGATCTTGGCCTCCTGCCACGCACATGGATGTGGATCCTCGACTTGTGCTGGTTTGGGGCTTAGGGTTTAAGGTGACCTTGACAAGTGTTATTCCCCACGCTTCTTGGTTTCCAAAACCCTTTTCTAATCATTGAGACAGCGCATGCCACACCCACATGGGAAGGCTTCCCAAAACCCTAAACCCTAAACCCTAAACCGTACTAAACCATTGTAGTAACCCCTGTGGCAACTCGAAAAGGAACCCTTCAACGAAGCCTACTCAACAGCCTGATTCAGGCCCCTACTTGAAGGCTCAGGGGACTTAGTAAGTAAGGTTATAAGTAGGTTATAATTAGGATAACCCCACTTAGAGGACTTATAACCCCAATTATAACCTACTTACTAAGTCCCATGATCCTCTAAGTACATCATGGACTTCACAACGTGCAGCTGTGAAATCTCACCAATCTCAGCCTTGAAGCTGTTCGACACATTCATGAGCTCGTGCTGTTTGTCCTTCACCTGGCACAGCAACCGATTCTGGTAGTTTAGAGTTTAAGGAGTGAAGCATACCTAGTGATAGTAATCCTTACTATTGTTCCTCGCAATATTTATGATAAGTTATATGGTATACTGAATACTGGTATAACGAGCGCCATGGTACCGTGCAGAATGGCCTGCTTCTGTAGATCTTCCACTTTTGACTGCAACGCCTCACGCGTCTTCACTACACAGCGGCAAGGAAATTCGCATGGCAGAAAATGTGAAGGCACTCTGTGAGGCATCGTAGAACATGTGGAAACTTCTTTCCGTGAGCTTCTTCCGGCGGCAAGGGCCTGCGTCACGGTCTCAAGCTCCAACTGTTTCTCCTGCACCTGTTGAAAAGCAGACGATTCCCGCACGATCGAGCAGTGCAAGCAAGGTCCCATTCAAGACCACCTGCAGCTGGAAGGACTGCAGCTTGCCCTCGAGCTCGTGGTTCGTTGCCTCCTGAACTCCAGAATCCAAGCATGAGAATGCAGGGATCACGCGAAACTGCTAAGGTTTTGACAGCAGGGATTGGAGGGTTCTTCGAAGCTGAGTTCTGCCATTCTCGGAGCTTAAAGACCCTGGAAACCCTATGTTAACCCTAAACCCTAAACGGTAAACCCTAAAACCTAAACCCCTTAACCCTTAACCCCTTAGGCCCCTGAACCCTCAAACCCTAAACCGTAATAGGGCAAGGGCAGTGGGCCTAGGGCCCTACCTACAGTCTCCGTTGTAGTTTCTTTTTTGGTCGACCAAAATCTCTATTATAGGACCCTAGCCATAAAGCTGGTTAACAAAAAAAGGAACTACAATGGAGACTCTGGGTATAATTCCACGTTCAGGGGCTCCTGAAACTTTGACATGCCAGTCCACTCCCCCACACAGCGAGCGCGATACCCAAATGAAGACGTAGATACATGTGGGTGGTTGTCAAGATTATGTTCCTTTCTTGGGTACCCCTAAATAATAGGTGCCGTACTACATTAGGGACCCCTAAAAGGGACCATAATTTTGACAACCACCTATAGAGGTGCCTTATCAATTACCTGTACTGCTTTGGGGCTTCCGTAACATAATAATAGTATAAGGTATAAGTGGCCCTAAACCCTAAACCCTAAACCCTAAACCCAAACCCTATTCGAATTATTGTGTATATAGACTCTAGGTAGGGCCCTGAGGCTTTCCTGGCAAGATCGCTTGGCCCATCCTTGGAAAGACACGTCTTGCGACCTGCTTTCTGCTATGGGTCTTGCGGGGTCTGGGGTTTAGGTTTTAGGGTCTAGGGCTTTTGGTGTGTGAGGGTTTAGGGGTTGGGGTTTAGGGGTTTAGGGGTTTAGGGGTTTAGGGTATAGGGTTTAGGGGTTAGGGTTTAGGGGTTAGGGTTTTGGGGTTTCCGATGGCCATGTTTAGAGACAACAGCACGAGCAGCCCTGCGCCGGAAAAATGGAACGAGCAAAACCTTTCAACATCGCTACCCCAAACCTTAAACACTAAACCCACGGTCCTTGAGGGCCTCTTGGGAAGCCACCAGCTGGCCGAGCATTTTGGCATTCTCCTCCTCCTTGCTGATCTTGCCCTTCACGGCTCGTTGCGTTTTTCAGCGGCGCATTCAATCTTTCGGGCTCTGATTACCGGGCTTAAAGCGTGGGACCGTTCAGTGCGGTTGTGCTCTCGCACTGGCACACTGCGGCTGCCTTCAGAAATTTGGCCAGGGCCCTCATCTCCGTCTTCGTGGCCATCTCGGTGTTTGTCGCCTCAAGCCGATGGAACTCAGCCTACACTGGGCCGGGAATTAACTACCATAAGCTTCTGCTGACATCGGCAGGCCTGCGTCGCGGTAGCAAGCTCCTCCTGCAAGCAAAGCATCTAAAGAAGATGGCAAGTTGGCTGCGCTGCTTGCACACTCTGGCTAGTGCCGCCGCGAATTGAAGTTCGGTCGGCTTGGCTTTGCTGCTTCGACAAGGATCTCTTGTGACAGCAGGAACTTGAAGCTCTGATTCGGAGTGAGGTTCGGGCACTGGTTCTATTTATCACTGTGGACTTTGGAGACATATGGCGCTAGGTCAGTCCGCAGGTGGTATCCTAACAGCGCATCGGCAATGTCTTGAATGTTTTCTGTACTTGTATCTTTCTCCTGTTGGATAGCGCTTGGGCCATCCTTGGAAAGACTCTTCTTGCGACTTGCTTTCTTCTATGCGCTTTTGATCGCCAGAATGAGCGGTCCGATCGCCAGTTTTAAAGACAACAACAGCAGCTGTTCAACAGCAAATCACGCGCACAACCCTGTCCCCAAGCGGCCCCAGGCTAGCAAGACATTCCCGCAAGTCGTCCTTGAGCGCCTCTTGGGAAGCCACTAGCTGGCTGAACAGCTTGGCATTCTCCTCCTCCTTGCTGATCTTGCCCTTCACGGCTCGTTGCGTTTTTCAGCTGCACATTCAATCTTTCGGGCTCTGATTACCGAGGGCTTAGGGGAGTTTAACGTGTGAAACCGTTCAGTGCGGTTGTGCTCTCGAACTGGCACACTGCGGCTGCCTGCAGAGCTTTGGCCAGTGCCCTCATCTCCGTCTTCGTCGCCATCTCTGTCTCCGTCGCCTCAAGCCGATGGAACTCAGCCTACACTGGGCCGGGAATTAACTACCATAAGCTTCTGCTGACATCGGCAGGCCTGCGTCGCGGTAGCAAGCTCCTCCTGCAAGCAAAGCATCTAAAGAAGATGGCAAGTTGGCTGCGCTGCTTGCACACTCTGGCTAGTGCCGCCGCGAATTGAAGTTCGGTCGGCTTGGCTTTGCTGCTTCGACAAGGATCTCTTGTGACAGCAGGAACTTGAAGCTCTGATTCGGAGTGAGGTTCGGGCACTGGTTCTGTTTATCACTGTGGACTTTGGAGACATATGGCGCTAGGTCAGTCCGCAGGTGGTATCCTAACAGCGCATCGGCAATGTCTTGAATAATTTTCTCTACTTGTATCTTTCTCCTGTTGGATAGCGCTTGGGCCATCCTTGGAAAGACTCTTCTTGCGACTTGCTTTCTTCTATGCGCTTTTGATCGCCAGAATGAGCGGTCCGATCGCCAGTTTTAAAGACAACAACAGCAGCTGTTCAACAGCAAATCACGCGCACAACCCTGTCCCCAAGCGGCCCCAGGCTAGCAAGACATTCCCGCAAGTCGTCCTTGAGCGCCTCTTGGGAAGCCACCAGCTGGCTGAACAGCTTGGCATTCTCCTCCTCCTTGCTGATCTTGCCCTTCACGGCTCGTTGCGTTTTTCAGCTGCACATTCAATCTTTCGGGCTCTGATTACCGAGGGCTTAGGGGAGTTTAACGTGTGAAACCGTTCAGTGCGGTTGTGCTCTCGAACTGGCACACTGCGGCTGCCTGCAGAGCTTTGGCCAGTGCCCTCATCTCCGTCTTCGTCGCCATCTCTGTCTCCGTCGCCTCAAGTCTAAATGACCGCTGTGGCGAAAGCATCTTCGCGATTTTCGGAAGGGTGAAGAATTCATTCAGCCAGTTCTGGTCGCGGTTAGGGGGACATGTGTTGTTGCGTCATCAAGCATCGCATCATGTGTCGACCGTATTTTGGAGTGTCCGGCAGCTTCAGACGCGCAGCGCGTGGTCGTGCCACTTGCCAAACACTGTGTTTACCGAGAAGCTCAGGCTCCAAAATCGCTGAACCCTGCGAAAGCCCGGTGCGCTGAATGACAACTTGTGAGTGATACTACCGAAAGGAAGAAGCAGTTCAGGAACGCAAGATATACACCTGTCGATCTAGCTTTAATGCCTTCGCAATGACTATGAAAGCTCGATGCAACTGCCCCTCCTAAACTCCATAACCCTATACCCTGAACCCTACACCCCACAGACATGCCCCGCATCTCCTTGATTCTCGTCAAGAGCCTCTCCTCCTTCAAGTTTTGCTCCTGACGCAGATACTTCACTGCTTGCTTGAGCCAGGGCTTAGGAACTTGGGTTTAGGGTTCTCGATTTGGGGTTGCTGGCCTAGGGTTAAGAATAGCTCCGGCCAAGCAATCCCTGGTCTCAAGCAGCTTAGAGATAAACAAACCACCCGGTCGCACTTGGAGGATCAGGGAACTTAGTAAGTATGGCTAAAAGTACCCTAGTTAGGGTTTTAAGTAAATATATGTCTAGTTACCTTATTTATAACCCTAAGTACTATAACTCCCATGATCCTTGAAGTACCCTCTCAGACACAGGTTTACACTGATCTACCTTAGGGTTTTGAATTTTGGATGTTTTCTTTTGGGTTTAGTGTTTAGGGGCTTAGGGTTTAGGGTTCAGGGTTCTGGGGTTTAGGGGTGTGGGGTTTAGGGTTTAGGCCTAATTAGGCTATTTGCGTCTATAGTGGTACAGCATACGACATATGGGTGGTTGTCAAAATTATAGTCCCTTTTTGGATCCCTACTATATTACGGCACCGAATATTTGGGGTACCCAAGAAGGGACCCTCATTCTGACAACCACCCATATGCGAGTTTCCGAAAATTAGGGGTACCTCATTTTGGGGTCCTTATAATAGGAATCCTACTATTTAAGGTACTATATTCGGATCCCCTATTTTCGGAAACTCCCATATGATTATCCCGAGATCAACCGGATGTAGCTGGGCAAGGCGACTCAGGTCAGTTCAGCTGCTCGAGACACTTGCTCTGAACAACCCCAACACCCTAAAACCCTAAACCCTAAACCCTAAACCCCCGAAAGCCCAAAAAAAACCCTAAAGCCCTAAAGCCTAAAACCCTGAACCCTAACCCCTAAAGCCCTAAAGCCCTAAACCCCTAAATCCCTAAAGCCCTAAAGCCCTAAACCCTAAAGCCCTAAAGCCCTAAACCCCTGAACCCCAAAACCCCTAAAGCCCTAAACCCCGAAAACCCTACATCCCTAGAGCCCCAACACTAAAGGACAAATCACGCATAGATACACCTCCTCGGACCGGGCATGGCAAGCGGCCAGGTGCTGCAGAGTCAATGACACCTTAAAGTCTGCGGGTTTTGGGTTTAGGGTCCAGGGTTTTAGGGTTTAGGGCCAGGGTTTAGGGCTTTAGGGGTTTAGGCGTTTAGGGTTCAGGGTTTTAGGGTTTAGGGCTTCAGGGCTTGGGTTCCTTTTTGGCTTTTTCCTATGGGTTTAGGGTTCAGGGTTGAGAGGTTAGTTTAAGGTCAGAATTCAGGTTTTGGGGGTCCAAAAGAGTCTGCGTTGTGGTGCGGAAGCTTCAGAGTTACGGGGGGTTGTGGGGCGAGTTTTGCCTACACCCCAAAGTTCCCAAAGCCTAACTATCTTGAAGTCCTGCTCAATCGTCCCCTGAACCCCAAACCCTGCCTCAGACTGAACCTGAACATCAAGCGAGTGAAACGCGTGGGGAGCTACAGCGTCTGTATCTGCACGTCCCTACCATAACAAAAATAAGCAACCCCCCAACATAATGTAGGTAATTATTAAGGCCCCCAGAATAAGTTTCCACGACCGCCCACCTCATCGAGCTTGGCAAGGAGCAGCTTCTCCTGCTGTTTGCGCTGAGCTGCTTGGGGTCGGGTTTGTGGGGGTTTTGGATTTAGGGCTTCGAGTTTTGGTTTAGGGTTTATGAGGTTAATGGTTTCTGGTTAGGGCTGGGGTTCGGGGTTTAAGGTTTTGGATTTTGGGTACTTGAAGGCTCATGGGACTTAGTAAGTAAGGTTATAAGTAGGTTATAAATAGGATAACTCCACTTAGGGGACTTATAACCCCAATTATAACCTACTTACTAAGTCCCATGATCCTCCAAGTAGTACCCGAAACCCTATAGATCCCTTTAAGGAACCCCCCTATAGATCCCTTAAAGGAACCCCTATAGATCCCCTTCATGGATCCTCTAAGTACCCAGGGGAACCCTGCAAGCCGCTCCTTCGCATCTTTGCCATTTGGGTCCTCCTCTTCAGAGAGCTCCCAAAGACTGGGAGTCTCTGCCTCGATCCGGGTGGTTGTTGCTTTCAAGGGATCTAAGCCTTGAAGGGCTCCTTAAAGGGACATAAATTTTCCTTAAAGGGATCTATAGGGGTTAGGGTCTACTGAAAGGGTCATGGGACTTAGTAACTTTGAAGGGCTCCTTAAAGGGTTCCTTAAAGGGACCTTCCTTAATGGGATCTATAGGGGTTAGGGTTTGAGTTTAGGTTCTGCTTAAGGGGTCATGGGACTTAGTAACTTTGAAAGGCTCCTTAAAGGGCTCCTTAAAGGGACATAAATTTTCCTTAAAGGGATCTATAGGGGTTAGGGTTTGCTAAGGGTCATGGGACTTAGTAACTTTGAAGGGCTCCTTAAAGGGTTCCTTAAAAGGATCTATCTATAGGGCTTAGGGTTTAGGGTCTACTGAAAGGGTCATGGGACTTAGTAACTTTGAAGGGCTCCTTAAAGGGTTCCTTAAGAGGATCTATCTATAGGGGTTAGGGTTTAGGGTCTACTGAAAGGGTCATGGGACTTAGTAACCTTGAAGGGCTCCTTAAAGGGATTAGGGTTTAGGGTTACCACCGTGGTTGATATGGGTGGTTGTCAAAATTGGTTGCTTTAGAGGGATCTAAGGAATCTATAAGGGTTCTATGTAGGGTTTAGGGTTTCAGGGTCCATGTACCCAAATAGGTGGTTGTCAAAATTATGGTACCATTTTGGGTCCTTATTATAGTACGGTACCTAATATTTAGGGTACCCAAAAAACCATAATTTTCACAACTGCGTCGACATACTTAAAGGGTCATGGGACTTAGTAACTTTAAAGGGCTCCTTAACGGGCTCCTTAAAGGGACCTTCCTTAAAGGGATCTATAGGGGTTAGGGTTTGAGTTTAGGTTCTGCTTAAGGGTCATGGAACTTAGTAACTTTGAAGGGCTCCTCAACGGCCTCTCTCAGGGATCTATAGGGGTTTAGGGTACTTCAAGGATCATGGGACTTCGTAACTTGGGGTATAACTAAGCCAGCGTTAGTTATAACTACTCTTAAACTTACTAAGTCCTGTGCTCCTCCAAGTAGGACTCTCCGGATCAGCTGATCCGGCTCTGTCTCTTGCTTCTTACACATCAGGGGGTTCCTTTTTGTCTGAGGGTTTAGAGCTTTAGGGTTTTAGGGGTTAAGGGGTTAGGGGTTTCGGGCCTTGGTTCGCCAAAGGGGCAGTTGCCTTGAATATTAGGTGCCGTAGTATAGGGACCCAAAAGGGACCCTAATTTTGACAACCGCCCATATAATGGATCATACGTTTGAAGCTTCGAATTAGGGCTCCCGGCATCTTCGAGGATGGAGGCAACTTCTTGCTGTACGTTCCTCTCCGCTGTGATCAAAGCTGTGTCGCCAAAGAGGTCCTCAAAGCAACAGCGATTCGTGGGAGGGGGGGAGGGGGCTTGAAAAGTCGCAAAACTCCCAAACTCAACTCCCCTCGTCCCCAAACCCTACACCTTGAACAACTTGAAAAACTAACTCGCTTCACCTTGCCCATGCCCCCCGTTCTTTCAGGCCTCCTTTGCGAGGAGCGCCCGTGTGTTGCCGTCCTGCAAACGGCCGTCTACCATAGGGACCTTAAGACAACGAACAGCTTTTGGCATACCATAGCAAAATTGTAATAAGGATCCCAAAGGAACCATCTCACTCATTGGTCAGGCCCCTATGTTACATCGCATCTGTGGGATTAAGCTTTACAGTGCTTTCTGTACTGACTTTACAGGGTGTTTATCTTTATAGGGTTTACTGTGGGATTTGTAACTCCTGCGCATCAACTCGCGCCAAAAAGCTTCGACAGCAATAACCATCGGGAGAGAAACCCTAGACCCGGAAAGCAGAGGTAGCCTTTAAAGTCCTTACATAATTTCATCTGATGTTTATAGGGCTTACCGTGGGATCTTTAAACAAAAAAGCCCTCAGGGCCGCATGTCACCAAACGTACTTGAAGGCTCATGGGACTTAGTAAGTAAGGTTATAAGTAGGTTATAATTAGGATAACCCCACTTAGGAGACTTATAACCCCAATTATAACCTACTTACTAAGTCCAATGATCCTCTAAGTATTCCCAAGGGAAGCTCCTGGAACGAATGCCGGAGAATGGCTTTGCCTCAGGCCAAGACTCAAGACAACAGTTGAATATACTTGGTTTTCTTATAATCTGTTACATTACACTTTGCAAAATTTATACCATACCTTACTATACTAGATTATGCTGTACTTTACTATACAAAACTATACAAAAACAGACTATACTCTACCATACTATACTATACTGTACTATCTGCACTATAGTTACTGCACTATACTGTACTATACAATACTATGCTGTACTGTACGATACCGTACTATACAAAACTATACAAACCGTACTATACTATACGGTACTTTGCTATGCTATACCAAGTCGTACTATAGTAGAGTATAGCATAGTGTAGTATAGTGTAGTGTAGTATGGTATAGTACAGCAAAGTATAGCAAAGTGCACTAGAGTATAGTAAAGTATAGTATGGACAAGTATAGTACACTATAGTCCAGGTACCAGTAAAGAATAGTCAGTATCGTATAGTACTAACGGTTTGTACTGATCAGAAGATGAGAAGGTCCCAGAAATCAATGAAAACTTGCTCGGTTGCAAATCTTGGCTGCTGCATTCCGCATGCCCTCGCGCTGCAGCAATATGCCTAGTGCATGCATGGGGTGTTGGGGTGTAGGGTTTGGGGATAGCTAATCCATGGTTCGGATAGTATCAAAAATCTACACTCTTTCTGGGTCTGGAAACCCAAAAGAGTTGGAAATTGCAAAATGTTTCCCAACGAATGACAAGGATGCAGGGCTGTTCTGCCAAGGATGTCGGTGTTCAAAGGGTCACACCTGGCGCTTTAGTGTGCTTTCACAGCTCTTCCTGTGACACACACCGATGCAAAACGCCGGTTAGGGGTCGATCAAAATTATGCGCTCATTTGGTCCCCCTAAACTATATTAGGGTTTAGGGTTTAGGGTTTAGGGTATAAACTATAAGGAATCACTATAATACAGACCCCAACAGGGCTTGTAACCTTGGATCAACCCGAAGTTCCCAGCAGCAGGCACCTGTGTCGCAGCAACATCGCCACAGCCTCCTCAGGACATTCTTAGGGGTACCTTTAAAGGGATCTATAAGGGTTCCTTTGAGGGCTCTTTAAAGGGATCTACAGGGTTTAGGGTTTGGGAGTTTCCGAGAATTAGGGGTACCTTGTTTTGGCATCCTTGTACTAAGGGTCCTACTACTTAGGGTACTATATTTTTGGAAACTACCACATGAGAGAAGACACAACGGTAGGCCGGAAGGCAGGCAGGCAGGCTGACTGACATACCGACAGCAAGGCAGACAGACCGAGCGAGAGAGAGAGAGAGAGAGAGAAACCCTAAAATATGCCCTGAGACCCCAATGAACGCAAAAACACCGATTAAAGCCCTAAAGAACCAATCCCTGTGATGAGTGGCCCCAAAATGTTGGACTCGGGTGTAGGGGCAATACCATGCTGTAGTTCCTAAGGATTGGTATGGGCAATTATGCAGGCTTCTACATTACCTGCTAGAGGTTCGAGGTTCAGGGGTTTCGGTGACAGTGTGGAACCCGTATAGGACCCTTAAAGGAACCCTAGAACACCCGCATGCCTCCAGGCGTCATAAACCTTACACCTAAACCCTTGATTCTCAAGGCTACCCCCTAAACCCGAAGCGCCCTAAATCCTACCTAGAGTCTCCATTGCAGCTCCTTTTTTGGTTAACCAAAATCTCTCTTATAGGATCCTAGCCATAAAACTGGTTAACCAAAAAAGGAACTCCAATGGAGACTCTAGGAACTCTCCTGGTGGCCATAGAGCGCCGCCAGATGCAGGGAGCTTCGTCCAGTAAGCGGGTCACAGAGCCCTGCGCCCTCTGCGAAGCCTCGTTGCTGCTCCATGGTCTTCAAGACCTCCGCTTTTAGGCTATAGACCCCCGTTAGAACCATTAAAAAATACTAGTTTCATATTCTCTTGGATTTTATATAAACAAAAATAAAACTAATTTCTAAGGAGACTCTATTTAGGGTTTAGGGTTTAGGGGTTTGGGGTTTCTTCGCCGAGGCTCTTGCGAGGGTTTGACGAGGATTCTTGATGGGTGTTGTTGTAGGGAGGACGTTTACTTACTTCCCCTATAAGCCACGGAAATAGAAGGTTGAACTTTCCGGTTACTACTAAACTATAAGAACCCAAAAAGTTTAAAGGTTGGGTATTGGGGAACTAAATTGAGATCCCTTAAAGGATCCCTTATAGATCCTCTTAAAGGAACCCTATAGAGCCCCTATAGAACAGGGGGTTTTATGTTTTTTGGCGCGTAGGGAGTTGGGCGAAGGCAGTCAGGGGCTCGGGGACGGAGGCTGTTGGCTCCAAGAGACCTACAGTACTTGGAGGATCACGGGACTTAGTAAGTGTAGGGTTCCTTTAAAGGGCTCCTTAAGGGATCTATAGGGGTTTAGGGTTTAGGGTATTATAAACCCCATAAAGGCCAAATACGGTTGATGATAAAAATCCTGCATTACCTTAAGGACCCTAAACTATGGGAATTATGGTAAATTCCTTATTATGGGTAATGCAGGATTTATACCATCAACAGTAGTGCTGGGATTCCCTATACATTGCTCTTAAGGATCGAGGCTATGGGGTTTCCAACATTTGGGCTTCTACTGTATACGGAACTTAGACCCCTAGCCAAACTGTAGTTTTAGCGGTTTCTTAGGGGTAATAATAAACAAAGACTAACAGGAAAAAATCTAAGTACCCCTAAGATACTGGAGTTTGGGTTCTAAGAGGGTCTTCAGAGGATCCTCCATGGGCGTTGTTGGTCGGGTTTCAAGGGTTTTTGTGTAAGGTTCTGTTGGGTTTTGCCGGGCTTTCGTAGGATCTTCGTATGGAGTTCGTAGGGTTTGGATAGGATCTTCTGGGGATTTATAGGGCGTGATGGGGCTTTGCAGGACTTGTACGAGCCTTATACAGAAACAACATCAGAAGCAAAGGAGAGTTTCACAAAGTAAGGGCGCCTAACTGACCTTGTAGACGGGTCGAAACAAACTTTCGCATGGTGTATAATTATGGCTATATGCAATGTACCCAAGAACCATAGTCAATATCAATCCCGAAAGAGCAGGATTCGCGTGAAAGGACCCCTAGGCACGGCAGCACGGCATCCCTCATTTGCCAGTGAGCCCCAAATCGAAAGCTTGGATGGCCTCTTGCGGCTTCGGCTGGCTCAACACCTGTTTAGAGTTTAGGGCTCTAGGGTTTAGGACAAGGCTTCGGGCTTTGGGCTTTAGGGCTTGTTTTTAAAGTGCACTGATTTGGTTTAGGCTTGGGGCCTTAGGGCTTTATGCAAGCAGTGAGCGGCTTTAGGGCATTCGGCCTCGGGCATGTCCAAGCAGCGGAAGACACGTGCTAACAGTAGCATCGACTTGTCCATGGTTGGGACACTATTCCAAACTCAAACATCTGTTCCTTCTTGACAAAAAAGTCTGCACTTTCTGATTTTCTTCATATCTGAATATCTGCATTTCTGAGTTTCTGCAGTTCTGTGCGTTTTGAATGTGCGAGTGTTGTGAATTTCGGATTTTCTGCTTACTGTATCTGATTTAATGAATATGTGTATTTCTGCACCGGATGTGTTCTTGAATATCTCAATTTCTACATGGTGTTATTTCCGAGCCACATTGGCTTGGTTTCCAGAGTAGGCACTTGTGCAGCCTTTGGATTCGCCCAACACAACAGATACCCAAGGGTGACAAAGACGCTGCCTCATGAATGCTTGTGCGAAGAGCACTTCTTCCTGAAGGTCATGACTGCACTCATCCCTAAACCGCTTCTTGGCAACTCCGACGTACTGTTGTTCTTGGCTTTCTTTGTTGCTTCTAGTACATTCTAGTAAGTTGTGAAAACTATAGTATGCTATAGCATTCCGAAGTATATCATAATACATTATCGCATAGTATTGTATATTAGAGAATCTCATAGTTTATTACAGTATAGTGTAATTTTTCTGGTGATAGAATATGACACTGATGCGGCACGTTGCTAGTTTTTGCTCGCGTCCTTCCTTGCCGAGCTGCCTCGTGGAGGAGTCGAACCACATCGCAAGGTTTGCTGGTTCTCCACCTGGGTTCTCCTAGTTTATATAATAAGATAATGACTAAAAGAGGGCTCGTTGAGGGTTCCTTTGGGGGATCTAAAATGAGGGCTTAGGGAATATAGGGTTTAGTTCAGCGTTTAAGTTACCATCACTACTGGGGACCCATAACGAATAATATCGTTTCCTTATTCTGACAACTTAAATTGAAATTCTTGAGCAAGAGCCAGCCACAGAGCAGCCACCTCTTCCGGTGCCTTCGCGGAGGGCAGCACACTATCGTGCATAGCGTCCAGGGGGAGGAAATGCTTGGGGATGTTGAAGCGGTGCTTGTCCACGGAATCCAGTAGCTGCTGGAGGTGCTTCCGAATGTCAAAGCCGTCCGCGTCCACCCAATCACATCGGCATCCGGACTTCAGGAGGATGTCGATGCAACGCAGGGAATCATCAAGAGAGGGACCATCGGCCAGGGTTCGTGCATTCAAGACTGCTGCAAAGAGAGCCGTCCGACCAAATTTGTCGAGCTGTGTGGGATCAGCCCGGGACCGAATTAAGGTGTTCACCACGTCGGGCTTTCCGTGGCTGACTGCCTTGTAGAGGTCAGCCTGTGTAGGTGAAGTACATGGGTCCTGGGCCGCGATCCACTCAGTCGACCCTGGATGCATATAAATACAGATATACGCATATATTTATGCACATACATAGTCACAACTATACATATATATATATATATATACACATATGTATATACATACATATATATATATATATATATATATGTACATGTATATGTTATATATATACATATGTCCACTTGCTGGCATCCGATGGTTCTAAGGACCCGGCAACTGTCATCCGTAAGCTGCTCGGGGGAGAGCAGACTGTCTCGTCAGCCATGCATGCTGCAGGCTTTTCATGTCTTTTGGGCCAAACGTGGCAGAAGATGCTCCGGTTTAGGGTTTTCGGGTTTAGGGATTGAGGGTTTAGGGTTTTGGGGTTTAGGGCTTTAGGGTTTCAGGGTTCAGGGTTTTAGGGTTTAGGGCTTTCGGGGTTTAGGGTTTAGGGTTTAATGGTTTAGGGTTTTAGGGTCTAGGGTTTTAGAGTCTAGGGTTTTAGGGTTTAGGGTTTCAGGGTTTTAGGGTTTAGGGTTTAGAGCACCCGTAGGGAAGTAAACCCGAAGCCAGACTCGACAACAAAAAGATAGCTTCCTGCCCTCACCCACTGCAATGCAAAAAAGGAAGCTCATGTCAGCTCAGAAAAAGTGCCCTAAACCCGAAACCCCTGGACCCACTCCCACTTGCCCATCCCACTCCCATTTTCCAATCCCACTCCCACCTTCCGATCCCACTACGGGCACCCCCTAAACCCTAAACTCTAAACCCTAAACCCCCTAAACCCTAAACTCTAAACCCGATACCCCCCAAAACCCTAAACCCTAAACCCCCGTAAACGCCGCTCCTCCAATCGCGCCTTTTCACCCAGGTAGACTTCAACTTCCCTCCTGCACTTCACCAGCTCGCCTTCCAGGCGGGCCAGCCTGGCTGCAGGGCTTAGGGGGACTTCGAAGTTTAGGGTTTAGGCTTTAGGGGTTTAGAAGTTTAGGGTTTAGGGGTTTGGAAGTTTACGGTTTAGAGCTGTGATTATTGCTGTTGTTAGTCTTCTTAGTACGCTTATCATTCTTATCAGTATAAGGATTAATACCACTGTTTTTTTGTGAATGATATGGTGATTTATGGTAGTAGTCGAGCAGCAGTGGCAGTGGCCGTGGCAGCGACGGTAGCAGTAGATGAACCCTAGTTTCTACGTTCCAAGATCCTTCACGTATTATGTATAGCCTGTGTTGCTATCGCCACTGCGGGTTTGATTGCAGGATATCACAGATGGCTTCACTACGATTTCTAGCTTCAGATCCTCCAAGAAGCAGCAATGTCCCGCCTGGCCTGGGGTCGGAAGGATGCGCGCCACCTGCCAAAGCTGCAAAAACTGTGTCTGCCTGGGCAAGATCTGCGTAACTCTGCCGAGCCACTAAGGATCGCTTCCATGGCAGCAGAGCTTCCGGCAAACCTGCCGCTGGACTCGCTTCTCCGATGAGGTTTACCATCGCTGCATGCATCTCCGGTACCAAGCCTCTGAGAGAAAGTGTCGTTTGAGCCACGAGACGACTCGTGGTGTGCCTCGGTACCTCCAGATTACCATCTCCAGCAACTCTCAAATCATGTACGTCTGCAAACATGCATGCGATGCATACGGCAAGGACTGCCGCAGCGCGATACGGCCTCCTACCGGCGCGTCCACCTCCAGCACTCCTGTCGGAATGCTTGTCGGCTCTGCTGCACCTGAAGGGACTCATGGGGTCCAAGCGACTCTGTAAATGGCACTAACCTAGTATAGTCATGCTATTCTATTCTTCAGGTTCCCTACCCAAACAAAAAACCGTCTAATGTATTTGAAACCCACTTGTACCATGTTGTACCTGTGTTGATGCCCAAAGCCACCCCCTCGAAGTCAAACTCGCCAGTCGGGGTCTCCGCTGCCTCTGCTGCATCCTCGAAGTAAGGCGGCTTGCCGGGGACGTCTGCGACGGAAGCAAAGGTGCCGAGTTCTTGCATCTGCGAAACCAGGCGGCAGGCCACACAGAAGCTTTCGAAATCCACCTCCTCCCCAGTCTCGCCATTCTCCCCCGTGGCCGTGTAGAGGATGCTCTCCACAACTTCTTGGTCCAGCCTATACGGAACTTAGACCCCTAGCGAAAATTACAACTTCAGCTGTCTCTTAGGGATTGTAATAACTAAAGATTAGAAATTACTTCTAAGTTTCTAAGCACCCCAAAGTACTGGTTACAGACGGAACCCTAAACCCTAAACCCTTTAAGTACCCCTAAGCAGCCTGCTTCTCAGCAGAAGCTCTTTCACCGCAGCCTTTGCCACACATCGGCGACGACGGCCTCCGAGTTTCCTCTGTTGCGCCGCGAGCCCCCCAACAGCTTTCGTTTACGAAGATAGCCTATATGGGAGTTTCCGAATATTAGGGTTATTTTGGGTCCTTAGAATAAGGATCCTACCATTAAGGCTACTATATTAGGATCCCCTACTTTCGGAAAGCCCCATATACTTCTAAAGCCGTAAGACCATGAGGGAGGTTACCTAAAAGACCTAAACGACTTTCCCGCAGACCCAAACAGAACACGATCCCCTACACCATCCTCCACCACAAACCCTAAAAATATCCAAATGTTGCCACCTGGAGTCTTGTACAATTTCCAGCAGCAGGCGCGCTCTTCATCCGGCAGACTGCGCAGCCGTTCCAGCGAGATTTCCGGTGGACCTTTGTCGCCGTGGCCCATTGCTGCGCATAGTGACGAGTGCTAGAATGCTGGAAGTGGTTGACTCGGCTGCAAAGGTTCATTGTTTTGTGGAGGGTATTGACTCCTACGGTTGATGATATAAATCCTGCATGACACATAGTAAGGAATACACCATAATTCCCATAGTTTTGGGTCATTAAGGTAATGCAGGATTTATATCATCAACCGTAGAACCTTAACCCTGGTGTAGAGTTTGGCGGGTTTAGGGCTGACGACTTTTGAGGAAAGTCTCCTCCTGCAGAGAAGGCACAGCTCTGCCCGGAAACTCCGGCTGACTACTTGGAGGGTCGGGGGGGACCTCTCGAGTTTGTAGAGTTGTGGTTTAGGGGTTTAGGGTTTAGGGGTTTAGGGTTTAGGGGTTTAGGGTTTAGGGGTTTAGGGTTTAGGGGTTTAGGGTTTAGGGTTTAGGGTTTGTAAGCACCCCTAAACGGATCCTAATCGGGGTTATGGGACTTATCAGTGTATACAATACCCCGCCAAGAAGGCCCTGACGTGCCACAAGCGGCAGATGCAGACGCCGCGAATCGAAATCTCGCTCGCCCGCCTTTTTCGAGACACGGTCGCTGTTCCCAGTGCGAGTTTGTTTAGGTCTTGCTGCACTCGTGACGAGTACATGACACAAGATTCTGGCAAGAACACCTCTGCCAGATGCCTCTCTTGCGAGGGGGAAAATCCGACCGCTGAAGCTAGCTCGCAAGCTAAGGCTTGCCACTTTAGCGCCTGTCAGTGTGTCATATCTTTGCGTTCTCTCCAACATTGCTGGTTCCGACTACATTCAACCTAAGCCATGAACCCTACACCCTACGTTTGGCACGGGGCATTCACCCACTTTCCAGTACTGCCTGCTCGCGACCAGGCAGTGTGCAATGCTTTGGCATCTGGTGCCCTTCGGGCACGGAAGATTCTCGCCAAAGCCGGGACCCCGAGAGCCCAATACCCCTCAATTCAGGAATATTTTTCCGCTCAGAATATTTCGCCCCCTACTTAGGGAATATACGACACATCATACTGTTAAGCCGATTCATTGCGTAAAATACACAAGCCTGTTGGAATCTACGGCATATTCCTTATCTGAGGGATGTTGGGCTCTCCGGGGAAGGCTTGGAGTAGCTTCCCCGTATCGTCTAGATACAAGTGCTACATAAAATTACACCATATCCACAAGACCAGGCTCAGGGGATAAGGTTTGTAGGGTTTACTTGAAGGATCATGGGAGTTAGTAATTAGGGTTATAAAGAAGGGAACTCTATATATGTATATATATATATTAGTACTTATAACCCCAACTAGGGTACTTATAACCTTACTTGCTAAGTCCAATGATCCTCCAAGCGGGGTTTCGCGTCTTCGGGCATTCGGGCTTGAGGGTCGCGGACCATCGGTTTCGGGTTGGGGGTTGACGGTTCGTCAGGAGCAGGGTCTTGCTATGCTAAGTTGTGACACGCAAAGTAGCTGCCCACATTGCAGGGGCCTTGGTACTCTGCCGCAACAGCTCGGCCCCATAAACCCGAACCTTCCTCCGCCTTAAACCTCCAAACATTTACGGGAAAGGGCTTAGGCTCTTTTTTGAGGACCTTTCTCCAGCTGCCGAACAGAAGGGTTTCGGTTTAGGGTTCCGAGTTCCTAAACCCTAAACCCTAAACCCTAAACCCCTAAACCCCTAAACCCTAAACCCTAAACCCCTAAACCCTAAACCCTAAACCCCTAAACCCTAAACCCTAAACCCTAAACCCCTAAACCCTAAACCCTAAACCCTAAACCCCTAAACCCTAAACCCTAAACCCCTAAACCCTAAACCCCTAAACCCTAAACCCTAAACCCCTAAACCCTGAACCCTTGACCCGAAACCCGAACACCCCGTTTTGCTGGGTTCTTGTTAAGGAACTTAATTTAAGTTACCATAATAAGGAAACCCTATTATTTACGATAGATCCCTATTATGGTAACTTAAATTAAATTCCTTAACAAGAACCCCGGTTTTGTCAAACGTGAGATCTGAGGCCACCGCCGCCTCTGCTGCCGTGTCTGTCAGACAAATCCGGCTCCCCCGGCGGTCCTGGCTCCTTTGCTCAAAGGGGAAAAGGAGGGACCCTTAATAAGGACCCCTAGGTATATACCCTTAATATAGCTATTATATACCCATTATATAGCCCATTATAGGGTAGGGGTCCCTCCTTTCCCCCTTTGATTTGCAGAACTCTGATCGCTCTCACTACTTGGAGGCTTATGGGACTTAGTAAGTATGGTTATAAGTAGGTTATAATTAGGATAACCCCACTTAGGGGACTTATAACCCCAATTATAACCTACTTAACCTACTAAGTCCCATGATCCTCTAAGTAAACTGAACCCCAAATCCTAAACTGAAACCACCCTGAACCCTAAACCCCTAAACCCTGAACCCCTAAACCCCCAAACCCCAAACCTCTACACCCCTGAACCCCTAAGCCCCCCAAAATCCCTAAACCCTAAACCCTAAAACCTAAACCCCAAACACAAGCCTCGTTGGGTTGCTCTGGAAGCACCACAGCGGGCGCCTGGATGAAATTCGGCTTTCAGGCGGCTTTCCGTCGCTTCTGGTATAAGGTTTAGGGCTTAAGTAAGTTTAGGGTCCAGGGCTTAGGGTTCAGTATTAGACATGTAGACATTCTATTATTCCTTCTTGGGTTTAAGTACAGAGGAACATGAATGTTATCCAACTATCACAAAAGGAAAATGCAACAAGTGTAAGTCATGCTACTAACAAGAGCAAAGACAATGATGTATGGTACCGGGAATAACGGCAATAACAGAGCTACTAACAATAGTAAGAGTAATAGTTCTATGGTAATCGAAGGGCAATACTCGAGTTTCAAGACAGAAGAAAACCGGAGTAGCTGGCACTGCCAAAATGACAATGACAATGACGATACCACTAATGACAATGACAGTGACAAAGACAATGGCACTGATAATAGCACTAACTGACTGACAAGACTAGTCGTACTCCTAATGCTCAGAATCAAGCCCTGCAAGAGCAACATCAATGTGCGGTGCCAAGTGCAGAAGCTCGCAAACAGCGTGCAGTGGATTGCTGAAGGGGTTTGGGTTGAAGCTCAACCATCAACCCTGAACCCCTAAACCCTTAAGCCCTAAACCCTAAACCCTAAACCCTCATCCCTAAAACCCTAAACCCCTAAATTCTAAACCCTTGAATTCTTAACCCGAAGCTTGGGCGAAGGCCGGAGCATGTGGAGCTGGCTGTTGTGGCTTTCGGCCGACTGCTTCCCAGATCTTGGCGACAGCAAGCAATGACCAAAGCTTCCGAAAATACGGAACCGTAGTATAACACCCTAAATAGTGGGATCCTTAATATAAGGACCCCAAAATGAAGTACCCATAATTTGGCGAATCTCCCATATGTGGGGTCGCCAGAAAGCTAGGAATGTCTTTGGCGGGGTCGTTGCAATGCTGATGCAGCAAACTTTTTGTCTATACTAGGGCCTGTTATTTTTGAAATGTGCAACGACAACCGATCAGGCTGCCATGAGTTCGTGCAACTGATCACGTCATGCGACAGTTGTCTGGATTGGATCCCCTCTCTGGATCCTGAATGCGGCAAACGCCGAGTTGAACAAACAGCTGCAAGGAGCGACAGTTCGTGAAACCGTGATAAAGACAAGAACAAAACCCGACAGCCCTTCAAGTTAAAGGCGAAATCTAGGCCAACCCCAGCATGCTTGATATTACAATGCAGCATGAACGGTCGTAGTAGGCAGCAAAAAGCATCATCACCCGTCCTCGACGTCAGCATCAACTGTCAGCAACAGTGCGGTCAATCCAGACACCATCACGTCAATGACGCAATTCCTGCCCCTCCCCCCGCGCCGCGCATGGCAACTCAACATCAGTGCCAACCTCAACATCATCATCGTCGCACGCCATGTGCTAGGTGCAGGACCGCGGGCATCATTGCCGAGTTCTGACGTGAGACATAGTGCGGCCACGCCTGGACAAGACTCGGAGAAGCTGGGCCTTCCGGTGTCGTCGGGGCAACAGTTTAGGGTTTAGAGTTGGACTGTCGCAAAATACCTAATACTCATATCTAGATTCATCATGAAAGTTGTCTGGCGGATTGATAGCATCAGGTGCAAGGGCGCTACATGTTCTTGCCCTCATTACTCAGTTCAGTATAGAGTAATCATTACTCTATACTAAACTTGCACCCCTGGCAACAATCATAATTTTAGCTGTTTCTTCGGGATTATAATAACCAAAGATTAGAAATTATTTCTAAGCATCCCCCAAATACTAGGGTTCATGTAAGGAACCGTCAACCCTAACCCTACATTACTGGTTCCGTTGCAGCTCTCAAATTCATGCCTTGCGGCTTGGACTGGGTGGGAGCAGGGGAATCCTCCGTGAAAAGCTGCAATCAAATCTATCCTTATAGGCACCAGCCCTCCGCTGATACATGTATGTATATGTATGTGTGTATATATATATGCATATGTACGATATAAATAAATAAATATATATATATATATATATGAAGAGAGAGAGAGAGAGAGAGAGAGAGAGAGAGAGAGAGAGTATGTATGGCTGGATATATGTATACACATATACACACATATTCCTCTGCATATCTGTACCTATATCTATACCTGCATACATATGCATGTGCATGTGATGGAACAATATAAACCTGGACACATACATTATATATATACACATCTATGAAAAAAACTATATATATATATATATGTACACAAATATATGTGTATTAATATAGATATCTACATATGAAGCACTGCCATGCTCGCCGGACCCTAGTGGACACCCCATCGTGTTCCCGATCTCTCGCGTTCGCGGCTCCTTCTGCTTTTGGAAGCCCTGATATTTGGGATTACCCTGAGCCCTAATTTGTAAACCCTAAGAGCCTTAACTCTCAGCCCTAAACCCTAAACCACACCTACATTTACACCCTTTCGGGCGTAAGCTCAACAAAATGAGTTTAGGGGTTGAGGTATAGGGCTTAGGGTTTATGGCAACACGTGCCCCAAACCCTAAGCACCCAAACCCCAAAAAAGTCCCTAAACACTAAATCGTAGGCCTGCGCAACCCTGCACCACAAAACCTACAGCAACCCTAAACTCCAAAACCCAAAGCCCTGAACCCTAAACCCCTAAACGCTGAGGCCCTCAGACTCAAAGCCGTGAACCCTAAACCCTACGACTTGTCCTCTGGGCGCGAAATGGATTGAGCTTCCTGGGCCACAAGGACTCGTCGTTTGGAGTTTAAGGTTTGAGATTTAGGGAGGTCAGGTATTTCTTACTTCCCCTATAAGCCACGGAAATAGAAGGTTAAACTTTCCGGTTACTACTAAACTATAAGAACCCAAAAAGTTTAAAGGTTGGGTATTGGGGCACTAAGATTAAAATGCGCAGTGGCTCTTTGTCATGTTGCGCAGGTCTGGGAGTTCGGGTTTGGGGTTTAGGGTTTAGCTAGGCCGTACCCTGAATCCAAGAGGGTAGGGTTAGGGCTCCTCACAGTCAGGGCTGAAGGTCTTGGGGTACGGGCTTAGGGAACTCACAGCTACTGTAGGAACCTGATTAAGAAACCCTGGCCATATAACCCCCCCAAATAGTAGGATTCATATAACGAACATTAACACTGATAAAGACCCAGGGTTTCTTAATCAGGTTTGCACATTACCTTGCGACCGGGGCGCCCAATCCGAAATATCGCGTCTCATCAGAAACAGCAAATAGGCCTGTTGATGTCGGCGAAAGAGAAACGAAGCTTGGAATTCCAGGCATAAGTCGTATAAGCCTTGCACGGTTCATTGGGTTCAGGGCTTCAGGCGTTAAATAAGGAAGCCCTAAACCTTAAACCCTCAAGCCCCTAAACCCTAAAAACCCTAAACCCTAGACCCTAAAACCCCCAAACCCGTATAGATCCCTTTAAAGGACCCCATATACATTCCCGTATGGATCCCTGTATACAACCCCAAAACCCCGAAACCCTAAACCCACAAAGGCTTCGGGCTTCCTTATAAGACCCCAAAACCCTAAACCCTATAGATCCCTTATAAACTCTTATGGGTCCCTTTGAAGGAACCCTAAAACCCTAAACTTTGGAGTTTTTAAGTTGATGTGCACCATTTCTCCAAAGCAGCGCTGGCATTTACCTTAGTGAAGCGAAAAACCCCAAGAGTTGTAGTCCAAAGTTTATTATGGTTTCGGGCCTACACCCTATAGATCCCTTATAAAACCCTTTATGGGCCCCTTTGAAGGAGCCCTAAAAGCCCTAAGCTTTGGAGTTTATGGATTCGGGCTTCCTCAGCGTCTGAACCAACCCTCAGCCTCTCGGGTAATGACCTCGTTGTCATCCGCTCTCACCTTTTCCGGGAGGGCTTAGGGTGGGGTCTAGGGTGGAGGGTTTAGGGTGGAGGGTGGAGGGCTTAGGGTGGAGGGTGTAGGGTTTAGCGCTTCGGGTTTAGGGCTTAGGGTGTGGGTTTAGGGATCAGAGCCTTGAGGGTTTGGGGTTAAGGGTGCAATCTGCGCATTTGTCGCCACAGCCTCGTGAACGTCTGTGTCATTGAAGTGGTAGAAACGATTGTGCAAGTGATGCCTGACATGCCAGCTTCATGCGGAGAACTCACTGACCCCCCCCCCGGTTCCGGCTTTTCGGGAGCCTGCAGATGGCTGTGTAGTGACCACGGCCTGCATGCCCTATGTGGTTGGCCACCTCAAGTGCTCCATGTGATCTCAAGAGAACGATTCCCCGAGATTTGAGCGTAGGATCCCGGCTGCAATCACATCGTAGACGAGCGACCCCTTAGATCACAGAGATCCTTCCCAACACACATACACGCACACAGAGAGAGAGACACACCCTAAATCCTAAACCCCAAACCCTAAACCAAAGACCCCAAACCCTAAACCCCAAACCCTAAACCGTCTCAGGTTCGCACCTTCTGCTGCGAGCTCACATAGCTCGATAGGTCGATGCTTAGGGGCGTCCTGTGAGGCGGGCGGCGCCACTGAGGAAGAGGCCAAGATGCTCGTAGGGGGAGCTCCGGGGCTGCTGCAACAAGGCGACTTTGGTCTACATCCCCAAACCTAAACCCCCAAAAGTTGGTAAAATAATGGCCCAAAACCTATAAATGGCTATTATTCTACATACTTTTGGGGTCCAGGAAATGCTAGGGTTTAGGATTTAGGGCTATCGTCTTCCAATTGCGTAGGAGAGTGGGGGGAAGGAATAAAAGCGCGACTAGACGGGATTCTATGGGGACTATGACAGGGTCCACTCTCCCACTCCCCCCCTAAGCGCCAGTAATAGCATGCTCTTTTTGCAGTGCCTCAGCCTGACGTTGATCTTCTTAAAGCGGCACCTCGGCAAGGCAGATGCTTCAGATCCCAGAAGCTGCACAAATGGGTTTAGGACTTGGGGTGTCGGGTTTGGGGTTTGGGGCTGAAGCTTAGCAGATGGGGCCTAGGGAAAGTTTCAGGGTTAGGCCACAAGTTGCAGCGTGGCAGAGGCCGGAACGTCGACGTGTCGAACTCGAAGCGTTTTAAGTGGACAAGAAGGACCTCGGCTGCCAGCCCATGAACCGGGATATCCAGTAGCAATGGATAAGAACTGTATTATAGTGATCACCAGAAAGTTGGAACATAGGTTTAGGATGAATTGTGCTGGGATCCCCTGTGCTTTGCCTTAAGGGCATGAGGATACTGATGTTCCAACTTTCTGGCTTCTACTGTAATTACTCCCTTTTTGGTGATTATAAACTACTCCCTTTTTGGTAATTACTGGGTACCTTTATGGGTGGTTGTCAAAATTAGGGTTCCTTCTTGGGTACCCTAAATAATAAGTGCCGTATAATAATAAGGAAACAGAAGGGACCCTAATGTTGACAACCACCCATACCAGGAAGCTGAGACAACAGAAAGGGAAAAAGTGGCCCAGTAAGAGCCTGGTAAACCTGACACTCTCTACATGCAAAACCCCAACAGGTCTTGCTGCTCCTTATAAGGATTGAAGTAATAGGGGTTAGGGTTTAGGTTTAGGGTTCACAAATTCAATTAAAGAAGTAACCCTCAGTCTTGCCAAAACACTGGTGGAAGCTTCCACAGGTCGATCTTCTTCACGGAATCGACTCTCTTTTTGCATTTGGGACACCTGCGAGGCGCAATATAGCGGCCTTAACAATTAGACTAGGGTTCCTGTAAAGGGTTCCTATAAGGGATACATAGGGTTCTGTATAGGGCCCTTGATACTTAGAATGGTGTTTTGGTGCCCATAATACTATAGCTGTAAGCAGGAGCCCCCAAACTAGTATTGGTAATTATTTAAGCCAGTAGGGCGTAGGGTTTGGAGTTGAGTTTTGGGGGTTCGGCAACGGGGGCCCTAGGCAAGTCAACGTAGAGCGAGGCTTAGGACAAGAGCACCCTTGAAACCGTAATGTTGAACTAGGTTGTCAGTTTGGGGCCCGCCCCCAACAGCATTCATTATAGCTACCTCTATAAAACCCTAGACCCTAAAACCCTACAAGCCTAATGCCCTAAACACGAAACACTAGAACCCTGCAACCCTAAACCTCTATAAGACCCTGAAGGCAATTTGCAAAGCTTCCGATAAGTTCGGAGCCACCTCCATCTCTCGTCCCCGGTTAGATGCTCTTCCTTCAGGAAGTGCAAAAGTGCATCCTGGCGCCAAAAAGGGGAAATTAAGCTCAAGGTTGAGGGCTCCTTCTTGGAGGATCAGGGGACTTAGTAGGGGTTCTTAAAGGGCTCCTTAAAGGGATCTATAAGGGATCTATAGGGTTTAGGGTTTAGGGTACTACTTGGAGGATCAGGAGACTTAGTAAGTACGGTTATAAGTACCCTAATTGGGGCTACAAGTAATTATAGGTATAGTTACCTTATGTAGAACCCTAATTACTAGGTTGGCCCTTCAAAGCCTCTGAAACATATTCGTAAGTAGGGTCCTACTAAGCCCAAAACGGGAAAATAGAAAATATCCCAAAGGCCTACCTAGACTACTACTAACTCCCATGATCCTGCAAGTCGGGGCTTCAGGGATTTTAGGATTCAGGGTTTTCAGGTTTAGGGTCTGATGCTCTTTAGGGCTCTGGGGTTAAGGGTGTTCGGGTTCAGGGTTGTAGGATTTGGATCTTAGGGTTTGGGGGTTTAGGGATTAGGGTTTTAGGGCGTAAGGTTTAGGAACGAGCTATGTCTCATCAAGTCTTGCCTGCAGGCTGTTCATGCCATAGTGCACGGGCAAGGCAATGTACAGGTACCTTCCAAGATTTGTCCCAGAACCCTGAAACCCTAAGCCCTAATTAAGCCCTAAACCCCCAAACCCTAAACCCTAAGCCCTAAGCCCTAAACCCTAAACCCCCAAACTCTGAAACCTAAACCACCCCCCCTACATCGACAAGTCTGAGGGCCATCATGCCCATAAGAAGGACTTAGTAAGGCCTATTTTATAAAGTACAGTCCCCTACCCCCCTCCCCCTAAGGCCCCCCTAGGGCCCCCCTAAGGGTCCCTAAATCAACACGTCTGAGGCGAGGAGCGGGTCGAAGGTCTTCGACTGGTGGCCACAGGTGTTGCAAGTGAGACGTGAACGGAGCTGACCCTGGAGGCAAGGGGAGACATGGGGGTTTAAAGGGAACTCCATAAAGGGTTTAGGATAATCATTTTCCAACTTTCTGGCTTTTACTTTAGGATTGAAGGGTCGTTGGGTTTAGGATTTAGGGCTCAGGGATGTTTAGGGTTTAGTAGGGGTCGTTGGGTTTAGGGTTTAGGGATGTTTAGGGTTTAGGGGTCTTTGGGGATTTAGGGTTTAGGATACATGGCTCTCTCTGTGGTCTGGCAGCCCTGCCTGGAAAAGATCCACAAGAACAGACTTATGCCGCATCAAATGCTTCATCCAAGTCCTTGGCAAGTACAGGGAACGCCAGAAAGTTGGAATATGGTTTCAGGGTAGGATACCCTATAATTTACCATAAAGGGTTTAGGATAATCATATTCCAACTTTCTGGCTTTTGCTGCAGCTGCGCATCGATGGAACGGCCAGGAAAACGGGTAGCACTCAACCCTCAACCCCAAACCGTACTAAGGCGGCAGCAGGGCAGCGACGTACTCTTCGCCCTTCTCTCGCTCGAGCTGTCAGGGGGTGACGCTGCCGCAGCCCGTCTAGAAACTTACCAGACTGATCGGTGTATGTTATGATTATGGCCATTAAGGTATATTCAAATTAATATGCTATGCTAGAGTATATATGGCTAGTATGGTATATTCAAACTAATTTGCTATGTTCGTGTATATTACAGGACTTATGTTCTACTACAATACATGGTAGTATATCAGAAGGATAAGTAACAAAGCGCAAGACTTGTCCCTGGTCCACTCGGCACCCAAAGCTTTTTGAATAGCCCTCCACGAATCCTCGAAGGTACCCTCTTTCCACTCTGGAAACCTCTTTGCCTTACTCGCAACCCCTCCCCACTGCAGCAATGGAGGTGAAGATGGAGTGAGGAAGGTGGGTTGCTTTACGGCCCCACTTCGAAGCCGAACTCTAATTCTGGATATAGATCCCTTGAAGGAGCCCTAAATAGATCCCTCTAAGGAGACCTTTAAGAACCACTTTTCTAGACCCTAAACCCGAACCCTAGGGGGTGGAGGGGGGGCCGGAGTCTTCCACATTCGTCTCTGAACACTTCAGCCTTTCAGTTGTGGTGACACGGCACCGCAAGAACCCCTCGACGCTCCTTGCAGACAGGCCGAGGCGGGCGGCCCCTAAACTTACCTTTGGTTAGTAGGGAATGGAGGAATGGGGTACAACTATAACTGCTATTACTGACATTCTTCCATTCCCTACTAACCAAAGGTAAGTAGAAATGCATGTGCCTTACGAACAGTCCGTTAGACAGTCAGGAGTCATCTCGAATGGAACCTCAGCACAAACCCCCTGGGCCCTAAGCCTCTAAAGCCTCAACCCTGAACCCCTCAACCCCAAATACCCAAAATTACCCAAACCCCCAACACCTAAACCCACAAGCTTGGTGCACCAAACGGGAGCCTGAGCCATCCGCTCGTCTTCTTCATCTGAATCCACTTTGGGTTCCGACTCCTTCTTGCGATGGTCCTCAGGCCAGACCCGAAAATTAAGGGCAATTTTGGGGTCCTTAAATAAGGATCCTACTATTTACTCTCTTCTTCAACAACCGGGCCCCAAAAAGCTCAAACTTTCTAAGATATACAAGGCCAAAAAGTTTAAAGTTCCCCGCTCACTGTCTAAGTTTAGGGTACGATCTTAGGCCCCCACCCCCTATTTTCTGAAACTCCCATGTGGGAAAAACCACGCTCCTAAGAATACTCAAAGGACCATCTGGGTTCTTGTTAAGGGGTTTAAATTAAACTACCATAGTAGGGAAATCATATTTACAACATGATATATTATTTACTATAGATCCCTATTATGGTAGCTTAAACTAAATGCTTTAACAAGAACCCAGTCATGGGGGATTAGAAATTAGGGTAGAGAATCCCAATTAAGGTACCTGGAATCCTCGGTTACTACATAAAGGATCATGAACCTTAGTAACTAGGGTGATAATAATCAGGTAACTATACACTTCTATTCACTTATAACCCCAATTAGGGTACTTATAGCCTTACTTACTAAGTCCCGTGATCCTCCAAGTAGAGTCCCCTGATCCTCCAAGTAGCCCAGAGAACGCTACACAACTCGTCACGTTAAACCCTGGCGGATCCTTGCGCTCTACCTGGACGAGATTGAGATCTTCATGCAACCCGTCCAGCAGGTATGCAAGAAGCTCCTCAAACGGATGTAGGGTTGGGGGTTTAGGACGTTCTGGAAGTTGGCGGTATCTTATTACCGGGTCTTTATACAAGGATCCTAATAGCCTTCTATATATTGGGATGCCATGTCATCTGAAACTGCCAAGTACCCAAGCGAAGCAGACTATTGGCAAGCAATCCTCAATGCACTAAGACCAAGAACATCCAGAGACCTTCAATGCTTCCGCCGCCTTTCACTAGCGGCTCAGATGTCAACGCAGACTTGGTATCGAAATTACAACGTGGCAACAGCTTCTATCCAGACTGCGCAGAAGGTAATAGAATGTACTCCACTTTGCAGTTTCCGACAATAGGGACCCTAGTAAAGCACCCTAACTAGCGGGATCCTCATTTTTAGGACCCCGAAGTAAAGTACCTCTAATTTTCGGGTACTCCACGTCACAAGCGGTCCAGGCACAGCTTTCTACTCCCAGCTAGCCATGGCGACTGATTGACTCAGAGTCGAATGAACCCTGAACCCCTGAACCCTAATATAGGGGACCCAATGCTAATTAGAACAAGGTTTTGGGGGATAGTATACTATAACTATGTAATAAGGAATCACCAAAAAAGTATGTGTAATGATTTATTCAGGCCCCTCTACTAAACCCCTGAACCCTAAACCTCTCCTGTGCATCTTGTTGGTCTGAGTCGCGAAACAAATGTCTTGCAAACCTTGGTCCACAAGGGTTTGAGGTTTGGGGGTTCGCCGTCTCTCACTAGCTCTGAAATATCAGGGTCCTAGTTACAGGATCATGGGACTTAGCAACTAGGGTTATAAACAAGATAACTATACTATATAAGTACTTATAACCACGAATAATTAGGGCCCTTATAACCTTACTTACTAAGTCCCCTGATCCTCCAAGTAGACTCGGATTGCAGGAACTTCCAAGTGCCGGACTTAGACAGCGTACCATAGAGTTGAGAGGGCGAGTGAGTTCGGCTGCGCTTCTGCCACAGCATCTCCTGCAAGCGGAACGGCGACTACACCACATGGGCAGTTCTCTGAAATAGGGTAGCATCCTTTTTATGAGAGTGCCGTACTATATTTGGGATCTAAAGGGACCATAATTTAGAGAACTACTCACATGCTAACTCCAAGACACTCTTCTGCTGGTCCTGTCGACCTAAACCCTATACCCTAAACTGGCTTTAAAGTAACCAGGGCGACAAAGTATAAACTCATATTTCATAACGGTTCCTTTAAGAAAATAAAGTATTAAAGTATGGTACTCCAAAGCCCAGTAATTCTGTGCTGGTCCTGTCGACCTAAACCCTAAACCTCTGCTGGTCCTGTAGCTTCGCAAATCCTTTGGCCAAATGCCTGGCAACGGCAGGTTCTTCAGAGTCCAAGAGCCTCGCGAGCCTACTACAGGGGCCTTCATTAATTAGAATAGGGTTCCTTTGAAGGGATACTATAATAGGGTTATTAGGGGCCCTGAATAGTTAGAATAGGGTTTGGGGCCCATTATACTATAAGTAAGTATAATACGGAAGCCCCAGTTGGTATAGGTAAATATTAAGGCCCCTATATTACCTCATCCAAAGACGACACAAAAACCTTTTTGCTAGGCGCAAGCGCGAGAGCGCGCAAGGTCTCCACTAGCTGGTACCTATGAGGGAGTTTCCGCAAACTTTAGGGTTCCTTATGATACGGATCCTACTATTTAGGGTCTCCCATTTTCGGAAACTCCCATGTGGGCAGGCTGGCGAAGACTTTGCACCGTTGCCACATACACAGCCCCAGCAAAGCAAAAGTCTACTTGGAGGATCAGGGGACTTAGTAAGTAAGGTTATAAGTACCCGAATTGGGGCTATAATTAATTACTAAGTCCCCTGATCCTTTAAGTAGGTTTCGGTCTAGCTGGCAGGCTTCAACAAGTTGGTCAGCTCTGCTACAGACTCAATGATAAAGTCGGGCCCAGCTGCCTCCAGCTTCTCGCGAGGTTGCGTGCCGGTGAGCACCGAAACTGTCCAGGCCTTGGCATTCTTGCCCTCCTCGACGTCAACTTTCGTGTCGCCAATCTTCACCACCCTCTCCGGGCTCTCCACTCCACAGCTCTTCCTATACTGAACTTAGATCCCCAGAAAAATGACAATATTTAGCTGCTTCTTGGGGATTATAGTGACCAAAGATAAAAAAAAAAACTTCTAAGTACCCCTAAGCTTCATGGCTGCGTGGATCATGATGGGGTCGGGCCTGCCAGCCCCCAGATTGGCCGAGGAGAAGAAGCCGTCCACAGACCAGCCCAAGTTCTTCACAATGCTTTCCACAACATGCCTCGGCTTACTTAAAGGAACTCAGGGGACTTAGTAATTAGGGTTATAAATAGGGTAGCTATACTTCTAACTCCTTATCACCCTAAATAACCTGACTTACTAAGTCCCCTGATCCACCAAGTCAGGTTTAGGGTTTCGGGCTTGGCCTTGGGGTCTAGGGGTTTCTTCCAGTATCCCCTTAACAATAAGGGCGACCCTTGTTCCGACTCTTCGTTTTAATAAAATAAGGAGACTCTAGCCATGAAAAAAGCAAAAGCCGTACTACCGGGAGACCTAGATGCTCGGGGAATCCTGAACCCACACAAACCTTGATGCCCCGTCCTCTCAGCTCCTGGAAAAGAGAGGAGGTTCCCTCAATCTCGCTGTTGATACGACAGCTGAGCTTCTCCAGCTCTGCTTCGAAGGTCTTATAGACCAGGTCAACCTCAGCTTGGTCGATCGCTTCACTTTCCACACCTCTTGTGGAGCTCATGAGCAGCTTTAAGGCTTCCTTCTTCTCGTAGCCACGTACTTCGTTAGCTTTCGCGAACTCGACCTCCGTTCCGTCGTAGGCCTTCAAGGTGGCCCGGAAGGCCGCGATGACCAGTGGCTCACCATCAACAAGGTCGTTCACGGTGGTGCCGGCCATATCGAAGACCACCAGTTCCACGTCGGGCGGCAAGGCCCGCGATTCTGCCATCGCTCCGAATCTTCTTGTCTCAGCCCTAAGTACACCTGCGAGAGGTAGTGGAATCTACCGGAAGCATCCGGGCGACTAGTTGCAAGTCTGACGCTAGCTTCTAGAGTGAATGGCTCACCGCTGCTTGATCCTGGACAGACATGCTCGGCTGGCGATGAAACAAACTCACGAAATTTCGACGCGATCCGAGGTAGGCGCCCGCCGGTCCCGAAGGGGTTGCTGGTATTGAGCTCCTGCCAAAGCCGTTTTTTCGAAGGCTCCGATGCCCACCAACATGACCTCCTAAGCCGTCTGAGATCCTCAGAACACTCAGACCCCCAAACCACCTGGTGCACCCCAAAGCCCTAAAACCCTCTGAGACCAGGCCGCGTCCTCAGCATATTTCCCCGTCAGAAAGTACGCGCTGATGGGTTCGATGTGGCTGGCATGTCAAGTTTTGCTCAGGATTTAGGGGCTTTGTTGAAAAGGGTTTAGGGGTTGGGGTTTGGGGTTTGGGGTTGGGTTGAAAGGGATTTCGAGCTCGTCGTTTAAAGGCTTTGGGTATAGAGTTTATGGTAACGTATCAATCATGGTTTGAGGAAGAGGTTCATTGTTTGCGCTGTAGGGTATCGAATGTCTCTCTACTACCCATCTATGCACAATGAGCAAACAGTCGTGCTTCCTGTGCTCACGAGAATGCGTAAAAATCCTCCACCTGCTCCTCAACTTGGGATCGGATAGTAGATGGGTAGTTCTCTAAATCAGAGTCCCCTTTCAGGTCCCGTCCCGAAAATAGGCTGCACAGCGGGATCCTAATTTTTAGAACAAGCCTTGTAGATAGTACCCTCATAGAAACCCCTGTAGGTCCCGTTAAGGAACCCGAAGAAGGGGTCCTAACTTAGAGAACTACCCAGATGGGAGTTTCCGATCATGGGGGACCCTAATGTAGTTCCCCAAATAGTAGGACCGTTAATATAAGCACCCCAAAATAAGGTACCTCTAATTTTCGAAAACTCCCAGATGTTGTTGTTGGGGCCGCTCCGATCCCGCACCAGGAAGGTCCGATCCAAGCTTCTCAGTCCGACCCGACGATGTCCCTGAACCCTCACCTCGCAACCTAAAGCCGGCTAAGGGTTGAGGGTTGAGGGTTCGGGGCTTCGGGTTGAGGGCTTAGCGTTCAGGGCTTCGGGTTGAGGGCTCAGGGTTTCGGGTTGAGGGTCTAGGGTTCAACCTTGAGGGTCTAGGGTTTCGGGTTGAGGGTTTAGGGTTTCGGGTTGAGGGTTTAGGGTCTGGGGCTGAGGGTTTAGGGTTGAGTGTTCTGGGTTGAGGGTTTTCCTTGGTTTAGCGAGCACTTGAACCCCTTGCGCAAACCGCGCCATGCGCGCCCAAACTCTTGACCGCAAGATCGAAGTCCGAAGGCTCTAATATAGGGGCCTTAATAAGTAGAATAGAGGTTCCTTTAAAGGGATCCTTAAAGGGTTACTATAAGGGATCTATAAGGGTACTATAGTATAGGGGCCTTAATAAGTAGAATAGGGTTTTGGGGCCCATTATACTATAATTATAGTAAGGAGTAATTCTTTAAACCCCTATATTAAGCCCAACACCCCGAAACCGCCTTAACCCTTGAGACTTAACCCTCAGATCATACACAGGTACAAGCACAGATCCAAATGCTTATTACAAACATATAGATATCTTCACATGCACCTACAGCTACGTTTAGGGTTTAGGGTTAAGGGTTTAGGGTTTAGGGTTCAGGGTTCAGGGTTTAGGGTTTAGGGTTTAGGGTTTAGGCTGCTTTGAACCGGGGCACCTCAAGCACTGAAGCCCGGCGTTCATGAAGCAGGTGTTGCCCATGTTCACCAAGCCCACCAAGCCACCTTCGCAGAGAGCATGTAGGCTTAGTAGGATCTGATGTCGGCGCCTTAGATATTACCTATACGATTTTGGGGTTCCTTACTTTAATTATAGTATAGGTATACCCCGAAACCCTATTCTAATTATTAAGGCCCCTATATTCGTTTAGGGCTTACGGTTTAGGGCTTAGGCAATGCATGGGCACATTCCACCGGCACCTCTGGATTTGGAGATGTGAACTTGGTTCTTGCCCAGCCTGTCAGGAAACAGCACGCACCAATCCCAGAAGCTACACTACTTTTCTAGTATGGTATCTTATAACTTCTTATCTTCTCGTATCTAATACTGTAACAATGACGATGGTATAGCCGTATACATATTGTATATGGTACTATGTTATGTTCCGTTTCGATTTATTGTGGCTTTCGGCATCGAGGGCCGGACGATCGCTTCCACTGCTCCGCAGGTGTCCATGGCACCTGGGAAAAAAGAGAAACCGCTCTTTACCCATAGGCCCCAAAGTAGTTCCTTTTTGGGATTACCTTCTAGGATTCTATATATGAACCCCAAAAAGGAACTACTTTGGGGCCTTAGGGTAGCCATTGCCCAAAGGCTCCGAAGTATATAGTTTCTTTTTGTGGTTCATACTTGGGATCCCATAAGGTAATCCCCAAACAGGGAGGATTATGGAGCCTCTGGGGAAAGACCGCTACGGATCATATCTTGAAGTGTAATGTGTGATAATGTGCTGTATTTTGGCCATGAAGGACCCCTACTGAAATAGAATGTACTTTAAAATACGATTATATGCCATGCAATTTAATATGATATATAACTAACTAGTATGTACTATAGTACAATATAACTAATGTATTATACTTATTACAGTACCATAATGTAATGTAGCGTAGGAAGTATCGGAGGCCTCGCAAGGTGGGATGACGGTAGGTGGGATTAGGGATCCCTTAAATAAGGACTCTTATTTGGGGCTATCCCACCTACCTTCATCCTACCTTTTGAGGCCCCCGAAAGTAGTGAATGCAAACGCTGGGACGCCCCGTTTTCTAGACCTAAGAGTAAAGTAGGAATAAAAAGGGTGCCCTTTTTGGTTTAAAGGGGCTTATAAGGGAACCGAAACCCTCAAAAAGGGAATAAGGCCCTACTCTGGGTCCTAGTTTTCGGTGCTAAAGAGGCCCTTGCCAGATCCTGTGGCGCTGCGCCACAAGTGAAAATCCTCGGTACCTGCACCGAAGTTCAGGGAATTTCGGGTTTAGGAGTTCAGGTTCAGGGTTTGGTGTTTGGGGTTGAGGGCTCAGGGTTTCGGGTTTAGGATTTAAAGTTTAGGGTATGGTGCTTGGGGTTTGGGGTTGAGGGCTCAGGGTTTCGGGTTTAGGATTTAAAGTTTAGGGTATGGTGCTTGGGGTTTGGGGTTGAGGGTTCAGGGTTTCGGGTCCTGGGTTTAGGGGTTGTCGGTTCAGGGTTTGGGGTTTAGGGGCTTCGATGAGGGTTCCTAGACGGGTTCCATAAATCGGGGCCTTAATAAAAAAATGAATCAGGAGTCGCAGTCCGTGGATGTCGGATGTCGAGGTGACCCCCCCCCCGCCCCCCGCCCCAACAAACACAACAGAGCCTGCCATCCGCTCCGTGAGCTGGAGCTCTGCCTGTGTCATCTTTTCGAGACTGGAATGGGTAGTTGTCAAAATTAAGGTCCCTTTTTGGGCAATTACCCTAAATAACAGGTGCCGTATTAGAAGAGGGACCCAGGGCGGGACCATAATTTTGACAACCACTGGAAGGAGGCTCAAAGAGGAACCGACTTCTGCCACAGTGTGCGCTTGCGGCAGCCGCTAGGACAGTTCTGCTTAAAGGATCAGGGGACTTAGTAAGTCGGGATACAAATAGGGTAACTATACTTATAATTACTTAAAACCCCAATTGGGGTACTTATAACCTTACTTACTAAGTCCCCTGATCCTCCAAGCGGGCTAGGGCGCAGGCTGCTGATTTGTTTGAGGCCTTGGAGAGCACAGCGTGTGAAGAGTAGCGTCCCAGACATCTTGCTCATCCTGACGGTGTTGCCTAAAGAGCCCAATGTCCCTCACTTAAGGCATAGAGCTTAAATCATAATATGAAGCCCCGAATGATTCAAGGTATATTCCTTAATTAAGAAGTATTGGGCTATCTGGGTGGTCCAAGGACCGGACGCTTCTGCTGATGCGGCATGACCCATACGTTGAGGGCCTGAGACCGACACCGGCAACAGTTCGAGAAAAGGGCTTTTAGGGTTTAGGGTTGAGAGAGAAAAGGGCTGCTCCCTTCCCAAAGCTTCCAAGATTCCTTAATTGAGGAATATACCTGAAAATAGAGCAGGAGCCCTAGTATGGTTTAAGGCAAATTCCTCAATTGACGGATTTTGGAAGGTCTGGCTTGTCACCGAGAACGCCACTTGGCGGGTGAAGCCTGAAGCAATAGCTCACATTTGCTTCATTTTCACATACTCGCTACCACCTCAAAGTTTTGAGCCACATCCCAATTGAGACACGCGCGGCTCTGCTCCGCACACAGCCAGACAAGAGAGGAGTGCAGCAACCGAACACACAACTGGCAACCGTCATTTTCAGCAGAATATAGAATGAGCTTTGTCAGGCTAAACAGCAGGTCGTACACCAGCATGCTGGTGCAGCAGAGTCCTGCTAGTTCTCCATGTAAACTGTCTGTGTCTTTTATGGAGCTGTCGTGGTTTTAATCATTAGACTTAGGCTTGTCTGTAAATTGTAGTTGCTACACTAGACTACTGCTAAACCTATGGGTTGTTCTCTAACTTAGGGTCCCTTCTAGGGTCCGAAAAGGCTGACATACTATCCTGGGGACTTAGAAAGGTGAGCCTAAGTTAGAGAACTACTAACCCCTCTGTCTGTGTGTCAATGGAACTGTCGACCGGAGGTGCAGCTCACACAGCCGGAACCTGGCGAGACACAGTAGTTGAGCTATATGGGTGGTTGCCAAAATTAGGGTCCCTTTTTGGGTACCCTAAATATTAGGTGCCGTATTATATTAGGGACCCAAAAAGGGACCATAATTTTGAAAACCACCCATGTGTGTTTAGGGCTTTAAGGCTCTAGGGGTTGAGGGGCTTGCGGGTTTTTTGAAGCCTCCTTGTCCTGAGCGGCTTCCTATTCATTCGAGGTCCATACTGAGGTCCACTGTTCTCCCAAACTTCCCTAAACCCAAACCTTAAACCCCAAACCCCTACACCCTAAAACCTAAACCTCAAGTCGCTACTAAGCACTAAACCCTAAACCCCTGAACCACAAACCGCAAACCCCTCAATCCAAAACCTCCAACTAAACCCTAAACCCTATGACCAAGTAGCATCGAAACACGCCGGAAGTGCGAGCGGATCCTTCTCCAATGCTAAGACTGGCGAGGGGCACCGCAGTTCCTGGTTTGGGGTTTCGGGTTTATGGGTTGGGGTTCGGGGGTTTAGGGTCTCGGGCTTAGGGGTTTGCAGGGTTTAGGGGTTTAGATTTCAGGGGTTTAGGGACTTAGGGTTTCGGATTTAGGGTCGGCATTCAGGGGTCAAGGAAGACGGATGCGCCTGCAATCCCGGTTTCGGGCAAACTGATGGTCTCCGCACGCGCCGCATCTCCAGTCCCCTTCCCAGTAGTCCTCTCACAGCACGGAACTGCACGAAAAGGCTCCCTCTTCGCAACATCCCAGATCCCAAGCAGACATGGGGGTTTCCGAAAATAGGGGACCCCAATATAGTATCCTAAACAGTAGGATCCTTATTATAAGGGCTCCAAAATATGGTACCCCTTATTTTCGGAAACTTCCACATAGGAACAGTCCTGGCTTTTGGCAGCAGCAACAGCAGCAGGTTTTCTTTCTTGCTGCAACGAGTGGCCCTGCTGATACAAAGACATCAGCGAGGCCATTTGCCGCCTTGGCCACGAGACTACTGACGGGCACAGTCTCCAACGCATGCGCACGCAGAGATAGAGAAACATAGAGAGAGAGAGAGAGAACGAGAGTACGATACCTACACACAAAGATAAAGATTCGATTATGTATATGTATACAAACATATGTATATATATATATATACACATATGTGTGTGTACGTGCATACTGCATCTGTACGTGTACATCAACATTTGCGTTTTCTAAACCCAAACCCCTTTCTTGAAAAACAAAGGCGCTGCTGATACGGAAGCACCAGGAAAGCTATTTGCTGCCAGCGATCGGACTACCGCCACGAATGAATGAACACACACACACACACACACGCTCACGTACATACATGAATATATGGATAAATGTATATACACATATATAGGTGTGTTGGTGTGTTTTAGAAAGGAATAAAATACATGCGCATATGCAACACATGAATACATCTACATAAGTGCATGTATATATATATATATACATATGTGTGTGTTTGTTATTATTTTGCATAAACTACACATACCTGTGCGAGTATGTATACGCACACAGATACACACATACATATGTGGGTGTTTAGATCTGATATGATGCTCGCATGTGTTATACTGTAGTATGCTATGATATACTGCGGTATGCTATGGCATTATAGTGCAGAATTCTATTTTGAAATATAGGGCACATTGTAGCATGGTCTGGTACTGTGTGGTATGGCACATGGTGTAGCATACCATGGTACAGTATCGTGTAGTGTAATGAAACGGAATCTAGTAGTATAATCCAGCCTAGTCTTGTCTATGCTTTACAAGACTAGACTATACTGCACTATACTAGACTATCTTATGCCGCATTGTTTTGTACTATCTGTACTGTACTGCAATATAGCGTAATATACTCTACTATGTATACTTTGCTATACCATGCTATGCTGTACCATGCGACATGCAAAGGGATACATGTCTACTTTACACCTTTCCACCTGTATTCACAAATCTATCTCACACAAGAACCGACCATACCCAGGTGACAGCAAACTGTTGCCGAGTCGCTGGACCCAGAAATTCTGGTACGCTGTTTCTGCCGCAGCAGCCTCTAGAGCCACTAAGTGCCATGCAAGCTTCGACTAGGGGACTAGGGTTCTACTGCATAGGGTATGGCCCTAAACCCTTATCCGAAACTCCAGGAACGTCTCTTCACTGATGCACGATCTGCATCTACAGATCGATCGATCAAGCAAGAACCGCAGGCTTTGGGAAGGAAATCAGCTTGTTTCTAAGCACATATACGACGGTTCACCATGGTATGCTAGAACAGATTCATAATATGCGACAATCGTGTACGATATTCCCTGCCTGCTCTGCAGCTCGTGCCTCTTCGGGCGAGAGCGCCTTGACAAGCCATGGCAGAATAGCCCGCGAAAGACTGCGCAACATCACGTCACCCACTAGCACCCAGAGATCCCAATACCCCTTAATTGAAGAATATACCTTAAATCAGAAGAGGAATCTATAAATTAAGGTATATTCCCTAATTAAGGGGTATTGGGTTCTCTGGGCAAGCGATTAAGGTCCCTGCAACGGGAGGAGCAGGAGCACTCGCTGGCTGCGAGGGCTGCGAGGGCTGCGCAGGCTGCGAAGGCTCTGCCGGAGACGGAGCCGCCTCCTTTCCCAGAATCCAAGGGTAAAAGGAGGGACCCTTAATGAGGACCCTTAGGTCTATACCCTTAATATAGCCATTACATACCCATTATATTGCCCATTATAGGGTAGGGGTCCCCATTAAGGGTCCCTCCTTTTCCCCTTTCCCAGAAGGCCAGGAACTTTAAAAGTCGCATGTTCTATAGAATAGTGTAAAATAATCGACGATATGAACATCTGTACTTTAACATGCCATAGTATACTATACGGTACTAGACTATACTGCACTATACTAGACTATAGTAAGTAGAGTATACTCTCGCATAGTATGATACTATACTGTATTTGACCGTACTCCTTCCAAGACAGTCTTCACTAGGCATTTAGTTCAAGTAACCAGGGAGCAACAAGTATACATTTTTATTTCACAATGAATCCTTTAAGTAAAAGTATTACAGTATGGTTCTCCAAAGCCCAATGCAAGGTGCCTCTGCCGGCTCTGCTTTCACGTCCTCCTTGGGGCCGAAGAGACCAGCCGCCTGAAATCAAAAGGCGCTTTTGACAGGGCTTCTTTGTTTTAACTGCAATAGCCCCGTTTCTCCAAAGACAGCTTTCTCAATCTGAGCGTGCACTCTGTGGTGCTCCACTCCTGCCCTCTACTCGGGTTTGGGCTTTAGGGTTTAGGGTTTGGGGTTTCGGGTTCAGGGTTCAGGGATTAGGGTTTAGGGCTTTAAGGTTTGAGGTTTAGGGACCAAGCTCCCGAAGCCCGGGCCTCTTTGCCGAGCAAGGAAGCTGCCTCGGTAAGGTAAGGGCCAGTACTCAGAGATATAGTATAAGACAGTATAGGATAGGCATAGTAATACGATACAGTATAATATAGTTGTAGTAATATAAAGTACAGTAACCCTAGCACAGTATAGTGTAGAATTATACCGCAGTACAGTAAAGCAAAGCACCGTATCGCATGGTATGGTGCAGCACAGTATAGTATACAGTACAGTATACTGCAGTCGAACCCTAATCCCTAAACCCAAAACTAGTATAGCATAGTACAGTTATCGAGGCTCAGACCAGGTTGGCCAGGGATGACTGGACGTTGCTGCGTTTGCCTGAGTTGAAGCAACCGGCAAGCTGAGGAGCATACAAAAGCATATTATAGTATATGGCAGTATATCATGGTATACTATAGTATGCTATAGATAGAATACTATAGTATACTATAGTACAATAAAAAAATATTCTCGTATCTTCTAGTATATTATGGTGTATATTCACCTATAGTATAGTACAGTAGAGTATGCTGTGCCCTAGGGTTCAGGGTGCTCTGCCCCCCTCTGCTCTTGCCAAGACACTTTCAAGTTCGGGGGAGATGGGAAAAGCCTTGGCGGCCTCTGGACCTCAGCACGGTTTAGGGGTTCAGGGTTTAGGTTCAGTGTTTAGGGTTCAGGGTTTCGGGTTTAGGGTTCACGGTGTAAAGTTTAGGGTTTAGGGTTTAGAGTGTAGGGCTTAGGGTTTAGGGTTTAGCGTTCAGGGTTTAGGGTTTAGGGAAGTCGCAGGCTTAGGGTTTGGGGTTTTTGGTTTAGGGGTGCTCACGTTCCCGGACCTTCCAAAATCCCTTCATCAAGGAATATACCTTAAATCAAAATAGGAGTTCTGCTTTAGCTTAATTAAGGTATAGAAAAGTTCCTTCATTAAGGGATTTTGGAAGGTCTGGGTTCACTGAGTGCTCCGAGCGCCGTGCTTATTGAACTTACTGGGGACGGGGTCGGTTGGGTGGGCGCTGGCGGGGGTGGCGCTGGAGCGGCAGATCCTGCGCTGCTTCGTTCAAGCCAGGTAACCCAAACCCGATATTATATACTAGGGTATACGATGATAAGCTGTAATATGATATAATACACTATAAAATAACATACTATAGTCTACTATAAAAAATATAGCACTTTCATGTGCTGTAGAAAAGTATCAGCACACTTTCTGCCTGGAGCAGTCGGCGCACTGGGCATCGACGCTCCTCGAGTATGGTTGCCACATGGAGGAACAGACAGAGCATCACAGCATTCAGAAGCTTACCTTTGGTTAGTAGGGAATGGAGGAATGGGGTACAACTATAACTACTTTTACTACCATATTACTGCCATATTACTTTCATATTACTACCATATAACTACTCTTACTACCATTCTTCCATTCCCTAACCAAAGGTCAGGAAGAAGCCTGGAGCTGCGAGGGACAAGGATGGCAAAGGCGACAGGCTTGGCATCGGTGGCAAACCTCGCAGAGGTCAAGGATTCGTGACTTTCCTTCGCCATGGCAGTAAGGACCCTCACGCATCAGCCTCCCCAGCCCTAAGCGGAATCCTAAACCCTCCTACAGTAGAAGCCAGAAAGTTGGAATATGATTATCCTACCCCTTCTATGGTAAATTATAGGGTATCCTACCATGAAACCATATTCCAACTTTCTGGAATTCCCTGTAAACCCTCCTAAACCCTCAACCCTAATCTGCAACTCACCTGGTAGGGGTGGTGGTGGCTTCGTCTTTGCGACGCTGGCCAGTCCTGCGCTTGCCCCAGGCCCGACCCTCACGCAAGGCAAACGCTCTAATATGCTATAATAGACCACAACTTACGATAATGTACTGTAGTATACTAGAACATACTATAGTATACCGGAATATACTAATAAAATACTAGAATAGCTATGAGTTAACATAACATTGTACTACACTATACCTTAAAAACCTATAACACTACACTAAACGCTGCTATGATATAATGAAAACCTAAGACCCGAAGCCCTGAACCCTTACGCATGCCCAGGTGGGAGTTTCCGCAAATTAGGCGTACCTTCTTTTGGGGGACCTTATAATAAGGATCCTACTATTTTGGGTGCTATATTAGAGTCCCCTATTTTCGGAAACTCCCATATGGACCCCTAAACCCCCTAAACCCTTTTAGAACCCTTATAGATCCCTTAAAAAAGCCCTAAACCCTAAGACCCGAAGCCCTGAACCCTACTTAAAGGATCATGGGACTTAGTAACTAGGCTTGTAATTAAGGTAACTATACTTATAACTCCAATTAGGGGACTTATACCCCCACTTACTAAGTCCCCTGATCCTCCAAGTAGTACCCTAAACCCTAAACCCTATAGATCCCTTTAAGGAACCCTATAGATCCCTTTAAGGAGCCCCTTAAGAACCCTTACTAAGTCCCCTGATCCTCCAAGTACGCAAGCCCAGGTCCTGAAGCCGGCGGTGGTGGCTTTGCACCGCCAAGGGGCGGTAAGGGCGCCGCTGGGGGAAAGGCAGGGGGCGCCTCAGGGGTGCAGGATTCCTTTACAGGGTCCTTTAAAGGGTCCTCATAAAAGGCTTTAAAGGTATCTATAGGGTTCAGGGTTTGAGGTTTTAGTTGTTTTAGGGTTTAGGGTTCAGGGGCTTTACTTGAAGGCTCATGGGACTTAGTAAGTAAGGTTATAAGTAGGTTATAAGTAGGATAACCCCACTTAAGGGACTTATAACCCCAACTATAACCTACTTACTAAGTCCCATGATCCTCTAAGCAGGATTCCTTTACAGGGTCCTTTAAAGGGTCCTCACAAAAGGTCCTGTAAGGGGCCCTTTAAAGGGATCTATAGGGTTCAGGGTTTGAGGTTTTAGTTTTTGCTAGGGTTTGGGGTTTAGGGTTCCAGGTGATGTAATGAGAAGCAGACAGATCTCTATACTCAATAGCATACCAGAGCAGATTGTAATATCGTAAGATTATACTAGAAGTCTGGAACTTGCTATAGGATACTCGAATATACAATATATACTCGGATATACCGTAAGAAAAAGCGATGAGACTTTCAAGCATCGGACCGCCGGCGCCACTGGCGCTGGAGGCGGGACGAGGGGACTCGGTGCTGGTGGTACCTCGGATGCTTCGCGGCTTTAGGGTTTAGGGTTTAGGGCTTCTGGGCTCTTGCAAAGGCATGATTTTTTAAGGCTGCCATAATAATATGGATCTGGAGCTGATACTAAGGCTTCCTTGCTATGGCAACTTGCAAGAAAGCCTTTCACAAGAATCCAGTCTTTGGCCCTGACTTCTCTTTGCGGATTCTGGGCCGCGGACCCTGGAGAAACCGTTCGGCGGGGCGGGCATGGGAGCCAGCAGCGGCGGTGGAAGCTGGGAGGGCTCCTGCAGAACCCGATCGACGCAGAGGCCTCAATAATTGGGCTTTGGGTATTATGGTATATTATGGAATATTACAGTATATTATAGTATATTACAGTATATTATGTGTATTATGGTAATAATTGGGCTTTGGGGGTTATATTTTAGGTACGGCCCCATACAGTAAGAGTCTATAATAGGCTATTATTAAGGTCCTACTATATCTATATTATGAATATTATTCAACCATTGCTGAGTGGGGGCCGTACCCAAGGTATATTGCAACTGTGATCAACTACAAAGGGACAACTACTACAATAAACTTTGCTATACTCTACTACACTATGTTATGTTCTGAAAGACTACAATACACAAAAATAGACTACAAAACACTATACTATACGATGATATGCTACAATATACGAGAATATACTGCAATATACTTTAATACACGATAATATACTGTAATATACTATCATACACGAAAATATACTGTAACATACTGTATTATATTATAATATGCTGTAATATTCCATAATATACCATAATACACTATACTAGATCCGTCAGTTGCACCCTGACCCCCCGGCGGGCCTGTGCCGGCGCGCCCAAGGGCCCCGACAGCGGCGCACTCGGTGGAGCCAAGCCTGGGCTCTTGTTAAGGAGTTTAGGGTTTGGAGTTTAGGGTTTAGGGTTTAGGGGTTTAGGGTTTAGGGTTTAGGGTTTAGGGTTTAGGGTATAGGGTTTAGGGTTTAGGGTTTGGAGTTTAGGGTTTAGGGTTAAGGAGTTTAGGGTGTATGAAGGGCTTAGGGTAGTAAAGTAACCAGAAAACTAGAAAAAACAACAATAACCATGCTACTAAGAAGGGCACCATGGTCTTGACTATAGACCCCTATTCTGGAAGTTATCATTATAATGTTGTCATAATAACAACAAGAACAGTATTAAGGATAATGATACTAGCAGTACTAGCCATAACGATTGTGACAACAACAATAATAACTAGTAAGGAGAATACAGGGCACCATAACCTTTACCATAGATCCCTATTGCAAATATAAGATGGTAACTTAGACCCGAAACATTAACCCCTAACTTATCCTAACCTACCCGAAACCCCATGGTAACTAACCACTGCTTTAGATCCTTATCCAATAGGAATAATCATCATCCCTGGCTCCTGAGCTCCTCCGGTATCAACGGTTAGGTAACTTCAAAAAAGTGAGACCCTTAACAAGAACCTAGAAGCGCTAACCCCAAGCCCTAAGCCCTAAGCTCTAAACCCTAAACCGTAAACCCTAAGCCCTATACCCCAAACCCTAAGCCCTACACCCTAAACCGTAAACCCTAAGCCCTACAACCTAAACCGTAAACCCTAAGCCCTACAACCTAAACCGTAAACCCTAAGCCCTACACCCCAAACCCTAAGCCCTACACCCTATACCCCAAACCCTAAGCCCTACACCCTAAACCCTAAACCCTAAGCCCTACAACCTAAACCGTAAACCCTAAGCCCTACACCCCAAACCCTAAGCCCTACACCCTATACCCCAAACCCTAAGCCCTACACCCTAAACCCTAAACCCAAAGCCCTACAACCTAAACCGTAAACCCTAAGCCCTACACCCCAAACCCTAAGCCCTACACCCTATACCCCAAACCCTAAGCCCTACAACCTAAACCCTAAATAAGAGCCCAGAAACCCGGAAGCCCCGGAGGGCCCGGAGACAAAGCGCCCGGAAGCGAGCCGGGCACTTCTTCTCCAGGCTGCGGCCGTGCCTCAAAAGCTCTAAAGTTCTTGGCTTCGTGGTTTCGGGGATTTTAGGGAATTTTAGGGGGGCTTATAAGGGCTTATAGGGTTTTTTTTATAGTGGTTTGTAGGGGTTTGTAGGGGTGTATGCGGGTTTCGATGCTTACAGGAGTCTCGAGATTTTGGGGTTTGGGGTGTAGGAGTTGCGGGCTCCTTTAAAGGCTCCCGCTAGAGGGTACTATGGGGTTCAATAATAGGGTCCCCTTGAATGGTACTCCGAAGTCCTTCAAGGGTTCCCTTTTCGGGCTCCTTTAACTAGGATACCCAGTAACCTAAGAATAAAAAGGCCTCTCTTTTTGGTATTGGGTAACTTTATAAGGAACCTAGGACTACAAAAAGGGAATAAGGGTACTACTGGGCATCCTAGTTTAAGGATTTCAGGGTTTTCGGATTTCGTCTCCAAGAGCTCTGTGTCTGGCAACTGGGGATGGCACTCTCCTCCAATCCGAAAGAACTGGCTTCCTTGCAGCGTTCGAGACGCTTTGGGATTTGGGGGTTTGGGGTTTCGGGGTTTTGGGGGTTTAGGGTTTAGGATGGGTTGGGATTTGGGGTTTCGGCTTCAGGATTTAGCGTCTGGGTGTAGGGTCTGGGGTTTGGGGATTCAGGTTTAGTATTTTGTTCTGTGCTTCGGAGAGGAACGAAAAACGTCTGGGAGTCGGGCGGCACAGCCTTCGCTGTGGAGTTGGTAAGTGCCTGTGCAGCATCCGAACACGAGCCAGAAAGCGTAGAAGAAAACTCCAAACCCTCGATCTTAAACCCTAAACCCGCAACCCTAAACTGTAATCATCAAAGAGGGTTGCAAAGTGCCTTCTGCATCCTGGCGCTTTGCATCAGCTCTCCTATGGACAGGTCAACAGTATCGTGGAGGCTAAAGCAGAGTCGAGTGGCGTAGGGTATGGCATAGCATCGTATGGCATAGCATGTTCTCGTTTGGTATCGGGCCACACTGCTTTCAGCTGCTGTGATCAAGGGCCCCTCTGTCCTTCTGCAAGAGCTGTTAGGGCGTCGTACTCGCCATCGTCTCGGTCCTCGCAGTCTCGCGACCAAGGGGCGTGACAAGCGAGCACGGCTCTGCTTGGAGGGTCAGCGGACTTGCAGATTATAAGTACCCTAATTGGGGTTATAAGTATAGCTACCTTATTTATAGCCCTAGTTACTAAGTCCCATGGTCCTTTAAAGTACCCCATTCCCCGAGGGTCTCTCTTGGACTCTTCACGCTCTTGCGAATAGGTACTTTTCAATCCTATGCTCTGCTATGCGTACGCTATGCTATGCTCTGCCATACCATGTAATACCATACTCTGTTCTACACTGATTCTGATCCTAATCCTACCGCTAGTGCTATACATAAACCCATTCTGATTCGAATACTAATACCTTAGCCTAGTACTCTTACTAGCGCACATACTTTTACTAATACTAATCCTGAGGCCAATGCTAATACTAACCCTAATCCTGATCCCAATGCTAATGCATCAGGCTAATGATAAGACTAAGAGTAAGATTAGGACTAAGACTATGCTTCACTTTACTGCACTTTGCTTCAGTCTGCTCTGTCTTCCCAGTACTATACTGTACCATGCCATACTATTCTGGACTATGCTAAACTATACTGTACCACATTTCATTCCACTCTACTATACTCGACACTACTTTAACAAACCCGAAACCCTAAACCCTCTACCCTACCTTACCTCCCCTATAAGCCACAGAACCAAAAAAAGGTTATATAAACTTTCCGGTTACTACTAAACTATAAGAACCCAAAAAGCTTAAAGGTTGGGTATTGGGGAACTGAGCTACTACACCCTACCGCAACGCAGCGGCAAGAGAAGCCTTCATCCGCGCTGGGTTGTAGTTTGGGGGCCCCAGAAGTGTTTCGTAAGGGAAATAGTAGAGTTTCCCACCTAAACCCTAAGCCCTAAACCCCAACTGCTAAATCCAAACCCTAGACACCTAAACCCTGAACCCTAAACCCCCAAACCCCAACCCAAAAACCCCAAACCCCAAGCCCCTAAACCCCTAGAGTCTAAAAGAAAATTTCATCCTTGGGTGGGCAGACCTTTACAGCTGCCGGTGGTTTCGGCTCAGGTGCGACCTTCGCCACCTGGCAGATCCGACTCCTTCAAGGGTTCCCTTACAGGGTTCCTTGTGGGTCCTTTCATCGGTCCCTTGAAAGGTTTAGGGTTTATAGGGTTTATAGGATTTATGGGGTTTATAGGGTTTACAGGGTTCAGGGTAGCTTCTTGAAGGGCTCCTGTCAAGGAGTCCTTTAAAGGGCTCCGGGAACGGATTCCGATAAAGGGTTCCTTTAAGAGCACTGTGAGGGGGCTATGATTTAGGGTTTCGGGTTTTGTAGGGGCCTTAGCAAGTAGATTCCGGCTTTGCAGGGGCCTAAACCCTTAAAGTGCCCTCAGAGCCCCTTTACACTAGTTCAGGGTTTAGGGTTTAGGGGTTCTTGGAATACCGGTTCCTTTAAGGGTTCCTCTAACCTTTAAAGGCTTTCATAAGGGTTATTCGAGCTATGTCCCTTTTAGCAGAGGCCTGAACAGTTCGCCGCGGCCCCGGCCGAAACCTTTCCTTAAAACGAGGTTTATAGGGGTTGCCCAGAGAGCCCAATACCCCTTAATTAAGGAATGTAGCTTAAATCATAATATGAATCCCCTGATAATTCAAGTCATACTCCTTAATTAAGGGGTATTGGGCTCTCTGGGTGGGTTGTGTGAACTTTGCCCTTTTGAAGTCGCAGCCACAAGAGATGCAAACAAGGCAGCCACCATCGTTTGCTGCGCTGCCACCCTTGGCACAAATAGAACAATGCAAACAGCCGCTTGGGAATGCTGGATCTTCAGCCAAGTTGCTGCGATTGCGTTGGAAACGGCTGCATACCAGGTGTGTGAGGCACCCAAGTGGTGTTGAAGGGATCGACCTGTCGTATCCTGTCAGGACGGCACCGCAGCTCAGGGAGCCCGCAGAAGTGTTTAAACCCTGAACGCTAAACCACCTAAACCCGAAACCCCTATAGTCGAATCCAAAAAGTTGGACCATCATTATCCTCATGCCCTTAAGGTAAGGTATAGGGAATGCCAGCACTAATCCTCCTTGAACCATGTTCCAACTTTCTGGGGTTCACTGTAACCTCTTTGGGGGCACATGGTTTCAACCTTGAAAAAACCCTAAACCCTAAACCCTAAACCCTAAACCCCCCAAACCCTAAACCCTAAACCCTAAACCCCCCAGAACCCCGGAGCGAAGCTGCGCGTCTCCTCCCCAGCAACATTGCCGTGGGATCACGGGCACTGCCCAGGCCACCACGCATGAGGACCTCTGACTTAGGGCGTTTAGGGAAAAGGGCTTTAGGGTTTAGGGTTTAGGGTTTGGGGTTTAGGGTTTACGGCTTTAGGGTTTAGGGTTTAGGGCTTTAGGGTTTAGGGTTTTTGAGGAAAAGGGAGTTCTGGCTTAAGGCCTAGTTGCTACTTATTATGATGACAAGTATCATCATTCTTGTTCTTGTTACATTCTCATTTCTACTAAAACGGCTTAGGGTTTACCACGATGGCTATGATTATCATCAACTGTTGTTTGTGTGCTTTTCATTTCTACTACGGTAGTTAGGGTTTAGTGTTCAGGAGTCGCCCTGTCTGGAGCACGAGTGTCGCGCTGCCGGTTTAGGATTTAGGGCTTAGAGTTGAGGGGTTTGGGGTTTAGAGTTCGGGGTGTAGGGTTTAGAGTTTGGGGTTTAGGGTTTTTTAAACGTGTAATGCACCACTCCTTTGACTCCGGAGTTTAGGGTTTAGGTTGCAGGCAAACGGGTTTGCGCTGTCTGAGGCGTCGGCATTTGTCTGGGCCTCTTTGGGCAGGGCTCGTAGCCGAGCGGCAGCATGTGCCTTGCGAGAGCGGCGGGAAAAGAGCCCTAAAGCCTAAACCCTGAACCAGAAGGTTCTTACTGGTGCTTAAGGAAGAGTGGAGTTAGGAGTTAAAGGACTACTGTAACGCACTGTATGGGGACTATTACCCGGTCCACTCTCTCACTCCCCCTTCAGCACCAGTAAGCGTTGCAAAGATCCACCAAGTGCACCTGGATCTGAGGATACCTCGGCAAGCACCATCTTCAAGGTAAAGGTCAGCAGGTTTTGCATTGCCAATGCAGCTGAAAGGCTGGGCCAAGAAAGTTTCCACCTCAGGATTCGCTGGCTGCTGGTTCTTCGTCTGCTCGAGATGCAACGCCACGGCCTCAAAGATGTGCGCAGAGCAGCAATGATCTTGAGGCTTTAGGGCTTAGGGTTTACGGTTTAGGGTTTACGCTTTAGGGTTTCTTTACTGAACTTAGACCCTTAGCAAAATTATTTTTAAAATTCTAATTTTCGCTGTTTCTTAAGGATTATCATAAACCAAAGACTAAGAATCACTTCTAAGTACACCTAAGGTTTAGGCTTTAAGGCTTCTTTCAAGACCGCCCCTAATTGGGGTTATAAGTAACTATAAGTATAGTTACCTTGTTTTACAACCCTTTTTGCTAAGTAGGCTTTACGTTTTAGGGCTTCAGTTTTAAGGTTTCTTTCAAGACCGCGTCCACAGGCCTGCGCAACCGACTTGTTCTGGTTGTACTGCCTTGGCACACCAGGGACTTCTCGAACCCCGATCTCGGAGAGGCTTTTGGGACAAAAATTAAGGGTTCTTAAAGGGCTCCTTAAAGGGATCCCTAGGACTCCTTAAAGGGATCTATAGGGTTTAGGGTTTAGGGTACCTTTTACGGGGTCTATAAGGATTACGAGAAGGGCCATTATAGGGATATGGGGTCTACCTGGAGGATCAGGGAACTGAGTAAGGGTTCTTAAAGGGCTCCTTTAAGGGATCTATAGGCTCCTTAGAGGGATCTATGGGGTTTAGGGTTTAGGGTCTACTTGGAGGGGCACTGGACTTAGCAAGTAGGGTGTAGGGTTTAATTGGGCTAACTCCTTTTCGGGTATTGATAACTCTACTTATTGCCTACTTACTAAGTCCCGTGCCCCTCCAAGTATACAGTCTGGTTCTCAGTAGGGACTGGGGACTATTATACCCTAAACCCTGAAACCCTAAACCCTATACCCTATATAGGGACTACTCTAGGGATCCGTTTCCCTAAACCCTAGCCCCTAAACTCAAAGTAGGGATTACTTTAGGGAGACCATTCCTCCATTCCCTACTTAGCACAAGACATTATAGGAATCCCTTTGGCCGACAAAACCCCTAAACCCTACAGCGAATCCCAGAAAGTTGGAACATGGGTTTAGGAGGATTCGTGCTAGGATCCCTGACACTTTACCTTAAGGGCATTAGGATACTCATGTTCTAACTTTCTGGCTTCTGCTATAAACCATACATCCTAGACCTGAAAAACCCTCAACCCCAAACCCCAAACCTCCCAAATCAAAAACCTTCTAAGAAACCATCTAAGGAACCCTTTGAGGAACCGTTTTCAGAAACCCTTTTCAGAAACCCTTCTTAGGAACCCCTTTTAAGGAACCCTTTAAGGATTCCGATAAAGGAACCCCTTTAAGGAACACCCAGAAAAACTCCCTTGGGCCCCGCCTGGCCAGCGCCTGCACTCGCTCGAGATCCTCTGGCATGACCTTCACATCGAAGCCACTGCCTCCACCGCCTCCACCACCTTAGGAAATAGGATTTAGGGTGTAGGGTTTTTAGGAAATAGGGTTTCAGGATTAAGGCTTTAGGAAGTAGGGTTTAGGGTTTAGGGCGTTTAGGAAATAGGGTTTAAGGTTTAGGGTTGTTAGGAAATGGGATTTAGGGTTTAGGGATCTTGGGAAATAAGGTTTAGGGTTCAGCGGTCCTGCGACTAGATTGGGGTTTTTGTCGGGCCTTACTTTCCGCAAGGATCAGAGGCTCAGCTTACATGTACTCAGATAGGGGGGGTAGGGTTTAGGGTCTAGGCTTCTGGGAAGGGCAGAAAAAGCAGAGAAAGAGCGCAATAGGAAGTCACCATAAGCCCCAAGAACCCAATACCCCTTAATTAAGGAATATACCTTAATTTCTATAGAGGCCTTCATATTATGATTTAAGGTATATTCCTTAATGCATGGGTATTGGGATCTCTGGGACCCTACTTGAAGGCTCATGGGACTTAGTAAGTAAGGTTATAAGTAGGTTATAATTAGGATAACCCCACTTAGGGGACTTATAACCCCAATTATAACCTACTTACTAAGTCCCATGATCCTCTAAGTAAGCCGTCTTGTTCTGAGGTCCTCGCCAGACTTTTTCTTGGCAGGACTCCTGAGTCATCTTCGACACACAGACAGATGTGGGAGTTTCCGAAAATAGGGGGACCCTAATATAGTACCCTAAATCGTAGGATCCGGAATTACAAGGACCCCATAAGAAGGGTACCCCCCAATTTCGTAAGCTCCCATGCTTCTTTCTCATGTCTACGCAAAGAGAGAGGCCCTTCGGAGTTCACATAATATTCTCTGAAAACATATTATAGTATAATAATGTGTGGTCTAGTCGAGCTAGAGAATGTCATACCATATCATATCGTAATCTATTCTATTGCTTGATGAATGATATGCTATTCTACTCCATTCCGTTCTAACAGTCCCCAACATTATGTACAATTACGGCTCTTTTTTGAACAATAAGGGAGATTAGGAAACGTCCCAGATCCATACCTCGTATTCTGTTCTATGACTCGAGGGATGAAGCCCCTGAACCCTACACCCCAAACCCCTAAAGCCCAAACCCTAAATCCGAAACCCCAAATCACGAAGTCCCATGATCCTTCAAGTAAACCCTAAAGCCTAAACCTTATAGATCCCTTTAAGGAACGCCTACGGATTCCCTTTAAGGACCCCTTTAAGGAACCCTAGCTACTACGTCCCATGATCCTTTAAGTGAACCCTGAGCCGCTCCTGCTCTTGGAGACGGGCGTGCGACTCTTTCGTCGCCTCGTCCTCTCAGGCGGCCTCTCCACCCTTTCGACAGGTTTCCTGCACCAGGGTTCTTGGCTTAGGGTTTGGGGTTTAGGGTTTAGGGAAGAGGGGGGCTTTAGGTTTCGGGGTTCGGTTTGGGGGTTTGGGGTTTAGGGTTTGGGATGCAGGGATGAGGGCTTTGGGTTTAGATGGCATTGGAAGTCTGCAGAATGTAGGCTCCGTAAACGAAGGTTCTGCAACTACTACAGCGAGGGTTGCAAAGAAAACTTGAATACAGTGGCCTCAATAAATTAGAAGAGGCTTTTGCATATTGTAGAGTTATCAACCTGTAAATTAGTCAGGCTCCCACATTACACGGTGGCGGGACTATGGCGGCTCTCTAACACAAACAAGCAAGACGTCTTGCACCTACTACAAGGGCCTGAATAATTTGAATAGGGTTTTGGGGCCCATTGTACCTTAATCATTAGGAACCCTCCCCACACAATAGTATAAGCAATTGTATGGGTGGTTGACAAAATTAGGGTCCCTTCTTGGCTCCTTAATATAATACGGCACCTAGGGTACCCAAAAAGGGACCCTAATTTTTGGCGACCAACCATATGGGTCCCTACATTATAGGCCAATACAATGATCTGTTCCTGCGCGCCTCCTGGATCGGGAGTTAGATCTCCGCCGTGGTCTTTCTCTATCTCTGGACCGCGACCGCAGCCGTAGCGACATGACCTGAAATCATCGAGGTCTAAACCGACACCCAAGACCCCAAATACTTAAACCCCTCCGTCACCTGAGTGTCAGCTCACTACAAGCCGAACCCTTCTCGAAACTTTGTTGCCACTTCTAGATTTCTTTCTGAAAGGGGCGCCATAATAATCACCTCCAAACCTCCTTGCTGGGCGCCCAGCGACGCTACGGGCTGGCGCAAGCCGGGCCCCCAGTGGCCCAAAGACGCGGGTTTCTAAGTCATAACTGCGCTCTCGAAGATAGCAACGGGAGAAATAAGAACAACAGCAACAAAACATAATAGTGCAGAATAGTGACAACATCATCTTCTTCATCATAATCACCACCATCACCACCATCATAAGCGTAATAACAAGAAGAATGAAAACAACAATAAAAATGATAGTGACAGCGATACCAAGAACAATAATAGTAATGAGTAGTATCAAAAGAAACAATGACAACATTAAAACAAGAACACTAAGAATAAGAACATTAAATCAAATATTGCTATGATAATAAGAGCAAGACGACGAAGAACAAGAACAACAACAGCAGTACGTAGTAGTAATAATAACGAGTGTACAAGAAATAAACCTAGTTATCATCATCATGAACCCAATCACAAAACGAAGCTAATCAGCTGATCTTTATATTCACAATAGCGACAACCATAATCATGTCGCAAGTACACCTTCCTGCAGGATGAGCGACTTGTCGTCTTGTGTTCCGGACAAAATGCGGCTGGAAGATTCGGAGTCTTTTTGGTAATTGAGCCGCCCCATCATAAGAGGGCACGATGTAGCGGCTACAGTAACATGCGTATTTAGCTTTTTGTCTGAAACCCTTGTCCTACAACCGACACGTCAAATCCCGTTCCAAGCAACTCCTTATCCACAGGTTGTCAAAACCTAAACCTGGTTCACCTTCAGGTGTGCTTCAGGACTGCTCTCCTGCGTATGATCGTGAGGATGCACGACCACGCTCCAAACCCTGAGCCCTATATCCGATCCCAGGCCACCCATGATCTTCTTCCCGCAAACAACGGCAACAACTTCTCAAAAAAACCTATTTCGCCTAGACCATGGCTTGAGGAGGACTGTTTTCTTCGCTTTGGGGTTTCCACAGTGTCGTGACCCGATATTCCGACCCTGCAACGCCTCGAAATAGAGACAACCGTGCGAGTCACCCTAATGATCCTAATGACCACGCAGGCCTTCATCTAGGTCTAAAGGAAGTCTCAGCCACTCCTCGGAACACAGCCTGCCGATTTTTGCGCGTCTGCCTCACAGACGCTGCAGGAAGGCCACTCTGGTCAGAACTCGAGGCAAAGCAGCTTTCAGAACGCGGAGGGCAGTACGACCTGCGCCTGCTACGATACGGTCGGAGACTGCCAGAAGGGCTCCCCAGAGTTGTACCGCGCGATAGAGAAGCACAAGAGCAAGCGTGACCCGCGCGCTCTTCGCGACCACGGAAGCCACGTCTGCGACTGAAGCGCATAGAGTAGCAAAGTCAATCCGACTCTCTGTATCCCCACGTCCGACAACTTCCAGATTGGCGGAGGTGCTCGAAGCAGACGACCTTAAGTCCTGTCTATCAGAGTGTGCCCTTGTATCGCTCCAAGACCTGTTCCAATCAGCTCTCCCTCGCCAGGTCCTCCAACTCTTTCCCTGGAAGCCTCCACGCCTCCACTCCTTCGCTGCACTTGGCCTGGAAGTTGATTCTGATTCCTCCTTGTGAGCTTCCCACTCGAAGCCTCGCTTTTTTCCCAGCCAAGGCTGGGTGAAGTCTCGGAAGCCAGTGGGGACCGGGTTCTCTGCCCGAATCTCCTGGCAACGCTCCCGGACGACGGAAGGAAGTTGAAGGAAGAGGGAGTCGGGGAGACATCGACGGTCCTTCGAAGGACGATTCCAATGCCATCTCTTTTCTTCAGACTTCTCGAAGACGAAGGATGCATACTTGGCAGAGAACACCTCCACACTTGGCAAGAAACACGTCTCTTCACTCACATTTGATGTGCCCCCATGCCACAGTCTGAGGTCACGGAGAATGGCGGCTCCCGCCGGCAAAGGAAAAAGCTTAGATTGCTTGTACCGGTCTGGCTCATGTCGAAAGTTCGGTGGAACGTCTTGCTGTCCGTGAATAACCTTCTTGCCTGGTACGACTCTCATGGGTCCGTTCTTTTCCGTCATCGCTTGCAGCGTGAAATTTATGGCGATCTGGGGAGGAGCATCATCAGCACGATACCTGGGTTCTTGTCAAGGGATTTAACCTACGTGACCATGATAGGGACCTATGGTAAATAACATGGTTTCCTTCTTATGGTAACTTAAGTTAAATCCCTTAACCCCAAAACCCTTATAGAACCCTTAAAGGAACCCTTATAGACTTATAGATCCCTTAGAGACCCAGCTACTCTGGCGGCACTTGTCCAGGTCCCACATCCGCGTGCAGGGTTTGGTACTTCTCCGTCCCTGCAAGGACGAAATCGCCTCCGATCCGCCGCAACACACAAGCGGGAGTTTGGGGGGGGGTCCTTATTACAATAAGGATTCTACTTTTTAGGGTACCTTTTCAGGGTCCCCTATTTTCGGAAACTCCCAAATCGCCTCCGCCGCCGCAAAACACAAATCCGTCCGGCAAGATCGCGTGCAGCGCGCTGAACGTGGCTTCGCATGCCAGCAGCAAAGACCATGCTTCGTGATGCAACATGTGGCCAGACAGGCTGGCAGCGCAAAAGCTATAGTGGCCAGGATCGTGGCACCACCCGATCCTTTCTGGATCTAACTCCAAGATCTGGCGCTCTGCCTGCTGGCAGCCCTTCAGCACCTCAGATGCCCTTTCATCGCTCAAAGCATTGAGAATTATGCAGAACCCTGTCTGCCGAAAGATCCTGACTGCTTCATCCAGCCAACCATCTGCCCCGGCTACGATCGAAAAGTCTGCAATCTCCAGGGAGCTCATCTGAGCAAGAGTTGGGCACTCTCGTGCCACAGCTTGAGCCACACTCCATTGCTATGACAGCCGGATGTCCTCCCCTGCGAGCCCAGTACCCCTTAATTGGGCAGTGTAACCTTCATTATATCATGAAGCCCCTTGGTTTAAGGATGTTCCTCAACTGAGTGGTACTGGGCTGTGTATCTTCTCAGTATCTTGTGCTGTCAAACTTGCAGAGACTCTTAGATATGCTTCTCATCTTGCGACGCTGGCTCTTTCGTCTGGAAAAGTGGTGAAATCTAGGGTGCTCCAACAAGGGATCGCACCGCACTGCACTACTGTCTCAAGGTGAAACGGGGAAGACAGATGGACTTGGATAGCCCAGACATCTTTACCAGGATCACTGTCGCAAGATCAGATGCCTACCCTAAACCATACACCCACACCCTACACCCGAAACCCTAACCCCTAAACTTAACTGTACCCCCTTCACCCTAAACCCCTAGACCCCTAAACCCTATAAACCCTAAACCCGAAACTCCTGGGTGATGAAAGACCATAGAGAGCTTGCAACGAGCAGCGACTCTCCTTACTGGTGCTTCACAGGGAGTGAGAGAATAACAAGGTTCAGGGTTGGGTTTTCAGGGAGAGTGAGCGCGTGGACCGTGTAATGCTCCCCATAGAACTTCTCGTAGTAGTCCTTCTATTCCTCTTCCTCTAGCACCAGTAAGTCTCTCAAGCCAAGGATGACAATCGCGATGGGCTCGAAAATGCCACGGCGAAGGCTTTAAACGGATCGTCCATTCCGCTCGCCTGCCAGGGGTTCCTAAATATGGACCTTACTTAAAGGATCATGGGACTTAGTAACTAAGGTTATAATTAAGGTAACTATACTTATAACTACTTATAACCCCAGTTAGGGGACTTATAACCTTACTTACTAAGTCCCCTGATCCTCCAAGTACCATTTAGGGTCTGGGCTTAGGGTTTAGGGTTTATGAAGCTGAAGGATGAAGCCAGAGTATGCACTCTGCTCTGCCGCACCTTGAAAGCCTCCGAGGTGCGTCCATGCCTCACAATGCGAGCATGCAGCCTAAACCCCAAACCCTGAAGCCCCACTGCAAGGGGCGGTGGGGCTAAGTAAGTAGGTTATAAGTAGAGCTATAAATACGCTACATGGAGTTACAGCAACTATAACCCTACTTATGACGTACTCACTAAGTCCCCTGCCCCTCCAAGTAAGCCCCAAACTTCAAACACCGAACCCTACTTGGAGGGCCAGGGGACTTAGCAAGTAGGTTCTACTTAGAGTTATAAGTACCCTAAATGGAGTTGCCGCAATGATAACCCAAATTATAAACGACTTACTCAGTCCCCTAAGCTGGCCCTCCAAGTAGACCCTAAACCCTAAACCCCATAGATCCCTTTAAGGAGCCCCATAGATCCCTTTAAGGAGCCCTATAGATCCCTTTAAGGAGCCCTTTAAGAAGCCTACTCCAAGCATACCTGAACCGTGAAGCCCAATGGGCCTTGAACCCGAAACCTGGAGCTGTACCCTATACGTACTGTTGATTGATGGTATAAATCCTGGGGTTCCTTTAAAGGGCTCTATTAAGGGTACCTTTATGGGGCTCCTTTAAGGGATCTATAGGGTTTAGGGTTTATATAAATCCTGCATTACCCCATAATAAGGAATATACCATAATTCCCAGAGTTTAGGGTCCTTAAGGTCATGCAGGATTTATATCATCAACCATACTTGTCAGGTATCATGGGGAACTAAAAGGTTAACCTTGTTGGTTATTTGGGGGTTTAAGGTTTAAGGTTTTAGGGTTTTAGGGTTTAGGGTTTAGGGTATCATGGGGAGCTAGAGGTTAACCTTTTTGGTGATTGGGGATTATGTAGGGACTATACTACCCCAAAAAAAGTTAAAGGTTACCTCAGGTACAGCGAAAGTTGGACCGAGAGCCTCCGCCCCAAAAGCCCTTCCAGAGCCCAGCCCTTATAGAACCCTTCGGTAGGTTTTTTTTTTTTTTTTTTTTTTGGGGGGGGGGGGGTTTAGGGGTTTAGGGGTTTAGGGGTTTAGGGGCCTCAAGGTCCCTTTAAAGGGAACCCTAGAGATCCCTTCAACGTGAGCCCTAAAAAGGTGCCTTTAAAGGGAAGCCTAGAGATCCCTTTAAAGGGAACCCTCAAAGATCCCTAGGAACCCTGAAGATCGATCCCTTTAAAGGGAACCCTTAGGGATCCCTAGGAACCCTAGAGATCCCTTTATAAAGGGAACCCCCTGAACCCCGAACCAGCCTCAGCCAGAAGTTCGCACATTGAACGTGCCAGTGGCCGCCCCTCCATGGCACCGAGGCCTTCAGAGCTGAAATGACGCCTTAAAGGGAGGCCTCAGGGCCTCCAAGAACCCCTTAAAGGCGCCCTTGAAGGAACCCCCCAAGGCGAAGCTTAAAGGAAGCCTTACACCCTAAACCCTAAGCCCAAATCCCTAAACCCTAAAGCCCTTCTGAAAAGGAGGCCTCAGGGGCTTTCAAGGAGCCCCTTAGAGGAGCCTTTAAAGGAAGCCCTTGAAGGAACCTTGCAGGAACCTTTTGAGGAACCCCGAACGGAGCCCTTACAAAGCCCCATCGGCTTCGGCCTGAGCTTCTTACTTCCCCTATAAGCCACAGAACCAAAAAGGTTAAACTTTCCGGTTACTACTAAACTAGAAGAACCCAAAAAGGTTTAAAGGTTGGGTATTGGGGAACTGAGGCTTTTGAGAGGGAGAGGGCTTCGGGTTCTAGGTTTAGGGCGTGGGCCTGCCTAAGTTGAAGTGACTCGTCTCGTGTCCGCCGGCGTCGGCGCTCAACACTACACGAACATGTAGCCGATGAGCACAAGCCCACGTCAGCCTTCAGGAATGACCTACGTCCTGGAGGCTGACGTTGCGCTTGTGCCTGAAACTCTGAACCCGCGTAGAAGAACCCTTGGAGGAACCTTGAAAGAAAGCCTTAAAGGGGACCCTACTATCCCCCATACAACCCTATAAAGGAGCCCCAGTAAAGAACCCCTGGAGGAACCCTTAAAAAAAACCCTATTATAGAACCCCTATAATACCCTTTAAAGGGAGCCCCATAAACCCTAAACCCGTAAAGCATCAGCCTAGACCCAAGAGTAACCTAGGAATAAAAAAGGTGCCCTTTTTTGGATTAAAGGGGGTTATAAGGTAACCTAAACCCTAAAAAAGGGAACAAGGGCCTACTCTAGATCCTAGCAGCTGGTCCAAAGCCGGACTTGGCACCCGGCGGCACCAGGATCAAGACTCGAAACCTCTGCCTTGCGGTTCAGGGTTTTCGGGCTTTAGGGCTTCAGGGTTCAGGGTTTGGGGTCTAGGGTCTCAGGGTTTCAGGGTTTGGGGTTTAGGGTTTGGGGTTTCAGGGTTTGGGGTTTAGGGCCTCAGGGTTTCAGGGTTTGGGGTCTAGGGTCTCAGGGATTCAGGGTTTGGGGTTTAGGGTTTGGGGTTTAGGGTGTCAGGGTTTCAGGGTTTGGGGTTTAGGGTTTGGGGTTTAGGGGTTTGGGGCTTCTGGGTTTCAGGGTTTGGGGTTCGGGGTTTTTAGGGTTCTGACTTGAGGTGAACGGTTTTGGGATGGTGGGGCTTAATGTTTAGGGAGTTTTGAAGCGTAGGTCTATGGTTTAGGCCGTTAGGTTTTCGAGTTTATGGTTTCAGGATTCAGCGTTTTGGGGCTTGAGGTTTAAATGTGTATGTCTGTATCTACGTCTGTATATCTGTACGAATTTCGTCTGCACGTCTGTATGTCTGTCTGTCTGTCTGCCTCTCCGTCCACCTGTCCATTTGTCCATACGTCCGTCTGTCCATCTGTCCATCTGTCCATCTGTACATCTGTCCGGTTGTCTGTCTATCTGTCTGTGCTGCTGTCCGTCTGCCTGCCTGTCCCGCTGTCTGTCTACCTGTCGATAGATAAATACAAAGATACATGGACAGGCAGACAGACAGCCAGGCAGCCAGGCAGGCGGCACATAGATAGATGGGTAGATAGATAGATAGGCAGCTAGATAGATGCTAGCAAGCTATGTGCCTTACTTTTCTGTTTCGGATTATCATGTCTGTATCTAAACAGAGACAGCGACAGAGCTAAAGAGAGAGAGACAGCCACAGAGAGCCAGAGCGAGAGAGCGAACGGGAGGCAAGGAGAGAGAGTAAGTGGATAGATAGGAAGAGAGGGAGAGCAAGAGAGAGAGAGAGAGACATGAAAAGGTGTGTGTGTATATATATATACATGCAAATATATATATATATATATATATATATATATTGATTGCTTTATGCACATATGTAACTCTATGTGTGTATATATATATATATATATGTAGAGAATACATTGAGATAGAGTTATATAATGAGAGGGAGAGAGACAGAGAGAAAGCACCGGCTTGCATCCCGCTCTCCGGTTCGACTTCCAGGCCTCCAGAGCCAAGGGCACACAGGGCAGAAGGCAGAACCTGCACTCCGATCGAAGTCTCTGCTGCATCGGTTTAGGGGTTTTAGGGTGTAGTGCAAACCAAAATGAGGAGACCTCTTCAAGGGTTTTTACAAGGGCTCCTATAAGGGATCAGTGTATGGGGTTCAGGCGTAATTGCTACTTGCTGGTAGTAGTCCTACGACAAGAAAGACACAACATGAAATTGCAATAATACTCGCAAACACCATGGATGACTCTCCAAAGCTCTCTGAAGCGTGCTGCTGCCATTTTCCCTAAACCCCAAACCCTGAACCCTAAGCCCTAAACCCTGAACCCTAAACCCTGAACCCTAAACCCTGAACCCTGAACCCCTAGTCGGGCTCCCCACGGGCAAAGTGGGGCCGTCCGGAGCAGATCCATGTTGCTGTCCGCGGTAGATCCGCCAGCCTCGGCTGCAGCTCTGAGCCGCGGCCAGAAACCCGAAAACCCCACTTGGAGGATCAAGGCACTTAGTAAGTAAGGTTATAAGTACCCTAATTGGGGTTATAAGTAATTACAAGTATAGTTACAGCAAGTAAGGTTATAAGTACCCTAAGTGGGGTTATAAGTAATTACAAGTATAATTACCTTACTTATAACCCTACTAGTTACTAAGTCCCATGATCCTCCAAGCAGTGTTTAGGGTTGAGCCTTCAAGTTGTAGGGCTCCTTTGAGGCCTCCTTTAGGGGTTCCCTTAAGGGCACTATACTATGGGGAGGCTTTGGGGTATAAGGTTCAGGCTTCAGGGTTGATAGTTTAAGAGTTGAGGGTTTAGCTTCTCATAGTCTGAACCACAAGCCCAAACCCAAACCCCTAAACCCAAACCCTAACGCCTAAATCCCCAAACCCTAAACCCAAACCCCTACATCCCCAAACCCTCAATCATCCCCCGACCCCAAATCCTCGCACACTGACTCTCCAGACCCAAAAAAACTTACTCATCTAATCTCTAAACCCTACCCAACCCCAAACCCGCAAGACCTCAACCCTTTTCGTAACTTACCTGACCTTACTGACTTATAGTACCGGATTAATTATAGGAACCCTAACACCCCAAAATAGTACCGGATTATAGGAACCCTACTTGAAGGTTCATAGGACTTAGTAAGTAATGTTACTTATAATTAGGATAACCCCACTTAGAGGACTTATAACCCCAATTATAACCTACTTGCTAAGTCCCATGATCCTCTAAGTAGATTTAAAACCCCAAACCCTAAACTGAAACCACCCTAAACCCTAAACAGGCCCTAAACCCCTAAACCCTGAACCCCTAAACCCCCAAACCCCAAACCTCTACACCCCTGAACCCCTAAGCCCCCCAAAATCCCTAAACCCTAAACCCTAAAACCCTGAACAGGAACCCTAAATTTACAAAACCCCAAACCCACAAAACACCCTCGGAGGCGCCTCAAAGCACGTGGCCTCGTGCCAGGGCTCCAGTTTGAGCCGCAAGCCTCGGCCCCAAGTAGACCCTAAACCCTAAACCCTATACATCCCTTTAAGGAACCCTATAGATCCCTTTAAGGAGCCCTTTAAGGAACCCTTACTAAATCCCCTGATCCTCCAAGTGCACCGAGGGCCCCTAAACCAAGGGCTCCTCCAAGGGCTCCAAGGGCTCCTACTTGGAGGATCATGGGAGGCTTAGTAAGGGTCCCTTAGAGGGCTCCTTAAAGGAATCTATATAGGGTTCCTTAAAGGGATCTATAGGGTTTTGGGTTTTGGGTTTAGGGCCTACTTGGAGGATCATGGGACTTAGTAATTAGGGTTATAAATGAGGTAATCGTACATAGAAGTACTTATAACCCCCATTTAGGGAACTTATAACCTTACTTACTAAGTCCCATGATCCTTTAAGTAGGGAAAGTAGTTTTGGGTTTAGGCTTCAGGTTTAGGTTTGAGAGGGTTGAGAGTTGTGGGTTTAGGGCTTTAGGGTCTGGTGACTTTGATTGGGGTTCAGAGGTCCTCTAAGGGATGCCTCGGAAATCCATACTGGGAGGATCAGGGGACTTAGTAAGTAGATTTATAAGTCCCCTAATTGGGGCTATAAGTATTTATAGGTACAGTTACCGTATTTATAACCCTAGTTACTAAGTCCCATGATCCTTTAAGTAAGGGTTCTTGAGAGTTGAGGGCTTAGGGCCCGGACCAAGCACGTCGGATTCGAGTTTTGCCCAGGACGCCTGGCAACCGCACGACCCCTCCTGGCCAAAAGCAGCGAGAACAGGTCGGACCTTGGCTGCCGCCAGGCTGGAAGCCATGTCGGATTGCAACTCCTGCCGGGCTCGTTACAGTAAAAGCCAGAAAGTTGGAATATGGTTATCCTAAACCCTTTGTGGTATATTATAGGGTGTCCTACCCTGAAACCATATTCCAACTTTCTGGAGTTCCCTTTAGTACCCTTATAGTACCCCTATAGTACCCTTATAGTAACTCTACTATAAGGCTTAGGGCTGTCTAGGATGTAGATCAAACACGGATCAGGCAGGGCACCGATCGCAATCCCCATGATCATGTAACGGAGGGGCTTTATCAAATAGAACAGGGTTTCGGGCTCCTTATAGTATGATCGCAATATAAGGACCTTAAGGAAGAATACTGGTAGCTATTTCAGCTTCGATGGGAGTTTCCGACAATGGGGCACCCGAATCAAGTACACGAACTAGTAGGATGATCCTTGTTACAAGGACCCCAAAATCAGGTACCCCCCAATTTTCGGAAACTCCCCTATAGTAACCTAGGATACCCAGTAACCTAAGAATAAAAAGGCCTCTCTTTTTGGTATTGGGTAACTTTATAAGGAAACTAGGACTACAAAAAGGGAATAAGGGTACTACTGGGCATCCTAGTAACTAACCACTTCGAGATGATATGGAGGTTTCCGAAAATAGGGGACCCTAATATAGCACCCTAAATAGTAGGATCCTTATTATAAGGACCCCAAAATAAGGTACCCCTAATTTTCGGAAACTCCCATATAAACTTCCGAGCTGAAGCGGACGTCTCCTGCAGTGCCTTGGCATCTGGGCTGCCTGCTGGCACTTCACCTTCCCAGAACTGGAGTGCAGGGTTTAGGGCTTTGGGTTTAGGGGCTTCAGGGTTTCGGACTTTTGTGGGTTAGGGTTTAGGGGTTTAGAGGTTTAGGACTTTTGTGGTTCAGGGTTTTGGGGTTTAAGGTTTAGGGCTTTCGGCGTTTAGGGTTTAGGGGTTTCAGGTTTAGGACTTTTGTGGTTCAGGGTTTAGGGTTTAAGGTTTAGGGCTTTCGGCGTTTAGGGTTTAGGGGTTTCAGGTTTAGGACTTTTGTGGTTCAGGGTTTAGGGTTTAAGGTTTAGGGCTTTCGGCGTTTAGGGTTTAGGGGTTTCAGGTTTAGGACTTTTGTGGTTCAGGGTTTAGGGTTTAAGGTTTAGGGCTTTCGGCGTTTAGGGTTTAGGGGTTTCAGGTTTAGGACTTTTGTGGTTCAGGGTTTAGGGTTTAAGGTTTAGGGCTTTCGGCGTTTAGGGTTTAGGGGTTTCAGGTTTAGGACTTTTGTGGTTCAGGGTTTAGGGTTTAAGGTTTAGGGCTTTCGGCGTTTAGGGTTTAGGGGTTTCAGGTTTAGGACTTTTGTGGTTCAGGGTTTAGGGTTTAAGGTTTAGGGCTTTCGGCGTTTAGGGTTTAGGGGTTTCAGGTTTAGGACTTTTGTGGTTCAGGGTTTAGGGTTTAAGGTTTAGGGCTTTCGGCGTTTAGGGTTTAGGGGTTTCAGGTTTAGGACTTTTGTGGTTCAGGGTTTAGGGTTTAAGGTTTAGGGCTTTCGGCGTTTAGGGTTTAGGGGTTTCAGGTTTAGGACTTTTGTGGTTCAGGGTTTAGGGTTTAAGGTTTAGGGCTTTCGGCGTTTAGGGTTTAGGGGTTTCAGGTTTAGGACTTTTGTGGTTCAGGGTTTAGGGTTTAAGGTTTAGGGCTTTCGGCGTTTAGGGTTTAGGGGTTTCAGGTTTAGGACTTTTGTGGTTCAGGGTTTAGGGTTTAAGGTTTAGGGCTTTCGGCGTTTAGGGTTTAGGGGTTTCAGGTTTAGGACTTTTGTGGTTCAGGGTTTAGGGTTTAAGGTTTAGGGCTTTCGGCGTTTAGGGTTTAGGGGTTTCAGGTTTAGGACTTTTGTGGTTCAGGGTTTTGGGGTTTAAGGTTTAGGGCTTTCGGCGTTTAGGGTTTAGGGGTTTCAGGTTTAGGACTTTTGTGGTTCAGGGTTTAGGGTTTAAGGTTTAGGGCTTTCGGCGTTTAGGGTTTAGGGGTTTCAGGTTTAGGACTTTTGTGGTTCAGGGTTTAGGGTTTAAGGTTTAGGGCTTTCGGCGTTTAGGGTTTAGGGGTTTCAGGTTTAGGACTTTTGTGGTTCAGGGTTTAGGGTTTAAGGTTTAGGGCTTTCGGCGTTTAGGGTTTAGGGGTTTCAGGTTTAGGACTTTTGTGGTTCAGGGTTTAGGGTTTAAGGTTTAGGGCTTTCGGCGTTTAGGGTTTAGGGGTTTCAGGTTTAGGACTTTTGTGGTTCAGGGTTTAGGGTTTAAGGTTTAGGGCTTTCGGCGTTTAGGGTTTAGGGGTTTCAGGTTTAGGACTTTTGTGGTTCAGGGTTTAGGGTTTAAGGTTTAGGGCTTTCGGCGTTTAGGGTTTAGGGGTTTCAGGTTTAGGACTTTTGTGGTTCAGGGTTTAGGGTTTAAGGTTTAGGGCTTTCGGCGTTTAGGGTTTAGGGGTTTCAGGTTTAGGACTTTTGTGGTTCAGGGTTTAGGGTTTAAGGTTTAGGGCTTTCGGCGTTTAGGGTTTAGGGGTTTCAGGTTTAGGACTTTTGTGGTTCAGGGTTTAGGGTTTAAGGTTTAGGGCTTTCGGCGTTTAGGGTTTAGGGGTTTCAGGTTTAGGACTTTTGTGGTTCAGGGTTTAGGGTTTAAGGTTTAGGGCTTTCGGCGTTTAGGGTTTAGGGGTTTCAGGTTTAGGACTTTTGTGGTTCAGGGTTTAGGGTTTAAGGTTTAGGGCTTTCGGCGTTTAGGGTTTAGGGGTTTCAGGTTTAGGACTTTTGTGGTTCAGGGTTTAGGGTTTAAGGTTTAGGGCTTTCGGCGTTTAGGGTTTCGGGTTTTTGTGGCTTCTACTGAAAAGCGCCAGCCTTCACAGCTCGTCTCTGTCTTCAAGAGGCATCGGCTCGATGGCTGCCCTAAAGCCCTGCGGTTGATGATATAAATCCTGGGGTTCCTTTAAAGGGCTCCATGAAGGGTACCTTTAAGGGGTTCCTTTAAGGGATCTATAGGGTTTAAGGTTTAGGGTTGATATAAATCCTGCATTACCCATAATAAGGAATATACCATAATTCCCATAGTTTAGGGGTCCTTAAGGTAATGCAGGATTTATCTCATCAACCGTAGGCCCTGAACCCCAAAAGCCCTCAACCCTAAACCCTGAACCCCGAAACCCCAAACCCTAAACCCCAAACCCTAAACCCCAAACCCTAAAACCCAAACCCTAGACCCCAAAAGCCCTAAAGCCCTAAACCCCTGTAGATCCCTTGATGGAACCTTTAAGGGAAGCCTTGAAGGAACCCTTAAAGGAACCCTTAAAGGAGCCCTTAAAGGAACCCTTAAACTCTGAGGCCTGAGCTGTCTGACATGAACAGCTCGGCTGCAAGGCCCAGTCGCCAGAGGAGCCTTCGGAGAGCCGACAACCTCAGTCTTAGGGTTGGGGGTTTAGGGGTTTAGGGGTTTAGGGGTTTAGGGGTTTAGGGGTTTAGGGGTTTAGGGGTTTAGGGTTTTAGGGGTTTTATGGGTTTTAGGGGTTTAGGGGTTTAGGGGTTTAGGGTTTAGGGGTTTAGGGTTTAGGGTTTAGGGTTTAGCGGTTTTAGGGGTTTTAGGGGTTTAGGGGTTTAGGGGTTTAGGGTTTAGGGGTTTAGGGGTTTAGGGTTTAGGGTTTAGGGTTTTAGGTTTTAGGGGTTTTGTTTATTGCAGTCTTGGGGTTACTTGGAGGATCAGGAGGCTTAGTAGGTAGGGCCCCTTAAAGGGGTCCTTAAAAGGATCTATAGGGGGTTCCTTAAAGGGATCTATAGGGTTTAGGGTACTACTTGGAGCATCAGGGGGCTTAGTAAGTAAGGTCATGAGTCCCCAAATTGGGGTTATAAGTAATTGCATGTATAGCTACCTTACTTATAACCCTAGTTACTAAGTCCCATGATCCTTTGAGTGGGGTTTAGGGTTTAGGGGAATGCTACAAGGGTCCTATACGGGATTTAGGGATAGAATGGGATAGGGCCTAAATAATTGCCTATACTATTTCGGGGGAGTTCCTCCCATTTCCTAAGGTGGTGGAATCCGGTGAAAACCCCTAGACCCTAAACCGTAAACCCTGAACCCTAAACCTATCTAAACCTTAAACCCCGAACCCTAAACCTATCTAAACCCTAAACCTATCCAAACCTTAAACCCCGAACCCTAAACCTATCTAAACCCTAAACCTATCTAAACCCTAAACCCTGAACCCTAAACCGGAACCGCCCACACTGAGCTGTCGACCCCAGCAGGAACTCCGGCATCTCGTCGCTCGCTTGAACGCACTCGCGCTCCTCGCAGGAACTAAGCGGAGGCTCTGGGTTTAGGTGCTTTAGGGTTTAGGGGCTTTGGGGGTTTAGGGGCTTTACGGGTTTAAGGGAATTTTTGGGGCTTTGGGGGTTTTCAGGGGTCTTCGTCGCGGCATGTACCTCCATTCCTGCCTGCCTGCCCGCCCACCTACCCACCCACCTTGCCCGCCTACCCACCCACCCACCCATCTTGCAATGGACTTCGTACTTAGCTCTATGTAGTGGGATAGGTCTTGGAATTTATCAAGCCTAAACTAAACCCAAAAGGGTGTGATGGACTGCAGCTTGTCACATTGCCTCCTCGGACCAATCGCGATCCGCCAGCTGCGACATCCTTGGCGGCAACCACGAGGTAAGCGAACCCTTGCAACCATCATCACCTTCTTCTTAATCGTCATCATCAACATCGTCATCAGGATCATCATCACCATCAGTAGAAGTCACCATACATATATTGTTGTTTATTTCATGTCTTTCTGGTACTAGTTTGCTCAGGAGAAGGCGTTGTGGAGCACTCCACCAGAAGGTCGCGCAATGCTTTGATGCTCACCAGAGTTGCCTGGCATCTTGACAGTTAAAGCTTGGACCCTAAACCCTAAACCCTACACTCTAAACCCTAAACTCTAAACCCTAAACCCTAAACCCTAGACCCTGAACCCTAAACTCTAAACCCTAAACTCTAAACCCTAAACCCTGAACCCTAAGCTCTAGACCCTAGACCCTAAACACCCAGGCCTGCAAAAAATCGAGGACATTCTGCGAGGTCAATGCCTCAATCGCCCGGCACATCTGCCTGCACGGCTGGACCGCAGCAGACTGCGTTCACCATCATACTACACTATATTATCCATCATACTGCAATTATAATACGGTATCTCATAGTGTAATAGTATAGTATATGACACTACATCATGCTGTATCATATTTTGATCTACTATATTACGCTAGATTGCATTATAGTATACTATGTTAATTATACTAGATGGACAACAGTCACCAGTTGCTATGCCTTGCTCGGCGCTGCTGCCGCACGAGGCTGGGCCTCACGCATCACCGAGGAGCCCACCAGACGGTTTAGGGTCTTGGGGGTCGGTTACGGGTCCGGGTTTAGAGGGCCTTCATAAGTACCGACATTATTTTGGGAGTTCCTTGCAAGACGGCTTCGGGTTTAGAGGCCATGTGCCATGCTCCGGTATCCTGAACTTACCTTTGGTTAGTAGGAAATGGAAGAATGGTAGTAATAGTACTTATATTTGTACCCCATTCCTCCATTCCCTACTGACCAACGGTCAGTGAATGCCTCTGCTGCTCGGCGCCCGGCAGCACATGGAGACAGTTGGGACGAGGCTCGGGACAAGCGGACCTCCCGAGGCGGAAGTCCCAAAGCGGTTTAGGATTTCGGGGGTTTAGGGTTTAGGGTTTAGGGAGCCTCCAAAACCCCTCAATTGAGGAATGTATCTTAAATTATGTTAGGATCCTGCAGATCCCTATTATGATTTAAGGTATATTCCTTAATTAAGAGGTTTTGAAGGCTCGGGGGACATCGACACGGAATTCCCCCAACATCGCCGTGCCTGAAGTTGCTCACTGCAACTTCCAAAGCCGCACTGCTGACTGAGTCGCCCATCCATTGACACCTGCATGGCAGAGCTGACTCGCTGTGCAGCCTGCACGGCAGTTATGAATGAAAAAGAAACAAGAATAACACTGCGACTGAAAAGTAGGTATAGTCATAACAACAAGAATAGTACTAACAGTATTACTAAAAGATACTCCTAATACTAATAGTACCACAATAATACACAATAACACAATAGGAATACAATAGTAGTACAATAAGAAGAATACGAATGCTAAGAATCATCTGAGGACCGGGGCCTCTCTTGCAGCTGCTCCGCTGCCCGCTCCAGGCCTGGACAGTGACCAGGAGAAGAGCCTTTAGGGCTTTACTTAGAGGATCATGGGACTTAGTAAGTAAGTTATAATTGGAGTTATAAGTCCCCTAAGTGGGGTAAGGGGTTTTGGGGATTTGGGTTCAGGGGTTTAGGGTGTAAAGGTTTAGGATTTAGGGGTTTAGGGCTTCTTGAGGATCCTTAGAGGGTTTCCTTAAAGGGATCTACAAGGGATCCTTCAAGGGCAGGGGTGTAGGGGTTCGGGCTCGTGGGCTAAAGTGGATCTACAAGGGTTTGGGGCTCGAAGGATCCTCGACTTCAACTAGGTTGGCCCTTTAAAGCCTCTGCTTCTATTCGTTTTTAGAATCCTACTAAGCCCAATAAGGGAAAGTATAAAATGTAGGTTGGCCCTTCAAAGCCTCTGAAAAATATTCGTAAATATGGTTGAGGATATAAATCCTGCATTACCTTAAGGACCCTAGACTATGTGAATTATGGTACATTCCTTATTATGGGTAATGCAGAATTTATATCATCAACCGTAGGGTCCTACTAAGCCCAATAAGGGAAAATCTAAAATGTGCCAAAGGCCTACAGAGTAAACATCAGGTAACTATTCTTACCATTGCACCCCAGTTTTAGGTACTGACAACTGGACTTACCAAGTTTACTGATACTCCAAGTAGGAGCTCGAGTCTCACTAGCACTACATGGGGACTCGATTTAAGCTGGGTTCTTGTACTCGATTTAAGCTGGGTTCTTGTTACGGAACTTATTCTAAGTTACCATGATAGGCATCTATAGCATACTGCAGCGGTCTTGACAATTAGAATAGGGTCTTGGGGCATATTATACTCCAAATATAATAAGGACCTCCCAAAATAAAAACAAAATACTTATTGAGGCCCCTGAATAAACCCTAAACCCTGAAACCCTAAACCCTGAAACCCTGAACCCTAAAACCCTTTTAAGACCCCAAAATTAACAGACCCCATTAAGAAGCAGGCTCTTGTCGCCATCGCCAGTCTCCACGAGACGTCTCCACGCCTAGCAGTGACAGAAACACCAAAAATCTGCAGACTTCAATCACATCGCAGCTCCTTGCCAGCATTATGCGCGTATAGTTGCCATTGTTATGGCCTCAATTATCACGACCATAAGTACTGGCTGCTTTTATTGTCGTCGTTGTGAATATGATCATTGTCGTCACTTTTAGTGTGATCGTTATGTTTTGTCATCATTCTTGTTGGTACTGCTGATGGACAAAATCCTGCATGACCCTAAGGGCTCTAAACTATGGGAACTATATTCCTTATAAAGGGCAATGCAGGATTTTGTCCATCAACAGTATTGCCGCTCTTTGTGCACCCCAGTCGAAAGCCCCTTGGCATCTCGAAAGCTCGAAGGGATCCGTTCCCTTCCTTTCCCAAGGTCTCGAAGTGCTCAACTGAGGCCAGGATCTCGGGAAGTACACGCAGAGGGAGTTAGGGTTTAGGGATGTTGGGTTTAGGGATGTTGGGTTTAGGCTTTAGGGATTTAGGGCATTTAGGAATTTAGGGCATTTAGGGATTTAGGGCATTTAGGCTTTAGGCATTTAAGGCTTTGGGATCCCCTCTTTGGGTTGGGAGCTCAGGGAAGATCTGACTTCTTAGGAGATCCGGCCGAAACTTGCCTTTTATAGGCAAGAGGAGCACACTTCAGACCTTCCCAGGTACACGCCGAAACCAGCTTTTCTGGTCTCACATGCCCAAATTGCCCACAACTTCGGGTGAAGGAGCGTGACTTACAACTACTATGCCTCTTTCTGATCCTGGTCCTATGATCATCCCACTTTAGACAGTGGACAAGCATGACTTAAACAGTTCTGCATCCACCCCAGCCCTACCGGAGCCGCCGAGATCCGGCCAACGGATCTCTGCGCGTCCAGTCTTCGTGGGTTTAGGGGTTTCGGGGTTTTAGGGGTTTAGGGACGGTAAGGGTTTGGGATGTTGGCGCGTTTAGGGTTTAGGGGTGTTTAGGGTTCAGGGCTGTTTGGGGTTTAAGATTCAAACTTTAGGGTTTTTATTTGAAAAATTAGGGTTCCGGGTTCGGGGTTGAGGGCGGACTCAGCTCTGTCCCTGGAGATCTCCGAGGAGCAACTTCATGAAGGCCTCCTGGGGATGGGGAGTTTATAGATTGGGCTAACAAGGCTTTCGTGTTGACTAGGGTTCTCGGTCATGGTTGGGACAGGCTTAAAAATGTACATCTTTATTCCTTATTGGGTTTAAGTACCCATAAAAATTTATAATGTTACCCAACTATGACAAAGATCAGGGTTTAGGTTTCAGGGCTAGGGTTAAGAGGGTTTAGGGCTTAGGGTTTCGGGCTTCGGGATGAGAGGGCTTGAGCTTAAAGGATCATGGGACTTGCTAACTGGGGCTAGAAATACGGTGACTATAGCTATAGCTGCCGATACCCCCAATGAAGGTACCTCTAGCCTTAGTTACTAAGTTCCCTGATCCTTTGAGTATGGTTGAAGGTTCGGGTTTAGGACTTATAGGGGTTTGGTTTTGGTTTAGCGATTGGGGTGCACGGCTTTTGGGGTTTTGGGCTTCATCGTAAAATTCCACCAAGGACATGCTGTAGTCTACAAAAGCTGCGTAGCTTCTGTTGAACTTCACGAGCTACTTGAAGGCTCATGGGACTTAGTAAGTAAGGTTATAAGTTATAAGTAGCTTATAATTAGGATAACCCCACTTAGGGGACTTATAACCCCAATTATAACTTACTTACTAAGTCCCATGATCCTCTAAGTAGACCCTAAACCCTAAACCCCTATAGATCCCTTTAAGGAAACCCCTATAGATCCCTTTAAGGAGCCCTTTAAAGGAACCCTACACTTACTAAGTCCCATGATCCTCTAAGTACAATGCTTCAGCTTCGTCGACTCTCGTGTCGGGCCTGGACTTCGTGTTAAACGCTGCGTTCGACCCCAAGGACAGGAAAGCAGAGACCGTGGAAAGGGACCCAGTCTCCTATTATCATTATTACTATTTTTCGTATTACTACGATTATTGCTATGAATGCTCATATGACTATGATTGCACTGATTAGTGTATTGCTACTGTTATTATTGCTAAAGTTCCGATAGCCTCCCCGACTGGTCCGAAGAGGGATTTCATCCCGAGCACTGCGAGAACATACGAACAAAAAGCGGCAGCGGTCCTCGGTGCCCTTGTTCTGATGCGTAGACCCTAAGCCCTAAACCCTAAAAGCCTAAACCTTGAAACTTGAAACCCTAATAAAACGCTTCACCCCTGCAACCCTAAACCCTAAACCCCTAAATCCTAAACCTTAAACCCTTAACCCTGAACCCCTAAACTCCCTAAACCCAAACCCCTAAATCCTAAACCCTGAACCCCTAAACTCCCTAAACCCAAACCCCTAAATCCTAAACCTTAAACCCTTAACCCTGAACCCCTAAACTCCCTAAACCCAAACCCCTAAATCCTAAACCCTGAACCCCTAAACTCCCTAAACCCAAACCCCTAAATCCTAAACCTTAAACCCTTAACCCTGAACCCCTAAACTCCCTAAACCCAAACCCCTAAATCCTAAACCCTGAACCCCTAAACTCCCTAAACCCAAACCCCTAAATCCTAAACCCTGAACCCCTAAACTCCCTAAACCCAAACCCCTAAATCCTAAACCCTGAACCCCTAAACTCCCTAGACCCTAAACGGCCCTAAACCGTTCTGATGCGTAGACGTCGTGGGGCGGCCGAGGTCAGCGCGGGCTCCAGGCCTCGGGTCAACGTCGCATCAAAGCCGGTGAAGCCCCAGGGCCCCCGTTGAGGGCTTAGGGCCCCAGACCTTCCAAAATCCCGTAATTAAGGATTTTACCTTGGATCATATGAGGGATCCTACCATAGTTTCAGGTACGTTCCTTAACGACGATATACCTCAAATCATGTCAGGGACCCTGCTACACTCAAGGTATGCTGCTTAAGGGATTCTGAAATGTCTGGGGGCGTGTCCCTAAACCCTAAACCCTAAACCCTAAACCCTAAACCCTAAACCCCTAAAACCCCTAAACCCTAAACCCTAAACCCCTAAAACCCCTAAACCCTAAACCCTGCTGGGTGTCTGGCAAAGCCTGGATCTCCAAGAAGGCCGGCCCAACAGATGCCTCTCGAGTACTTAAAGGATCATGGGACTTAGTAACTAAGGGTTCCTTAAAGGGATCTATAAGGGCTCTATAGGGGGGTTTTAGGGTACTTAAAGGATCATGGGACTTAGTAACTAGGGTTCCTTAAAGGGGTCCTTAAAGGGATCTAAAGGGGTTTCCTTAAAAGGGATCTATAGGGTTTAGGGTCTAGGGGCTACTTAAAGGATCATGGGACTTAGTAACTAGGGTTATATAAAAGGCAACTATGCATATAAGTACTTATAACCCCCATTAGGGGACTTATAACCTTACTTACTAAGTCCCCTGATCCTCCAAGTATCCATGACAGAAACGGAAACAGGCTTTGCGCTGCGAGCCCTTCGGACCTTCAGCTTCACCAGAGCTTCCTTTACCTCTGCCGTGCTGCAAGCCCTCAGCACCTGAACATCTGCTGTCACCGCGAATCTGCCGACGTCTCTCACAGCCCTAGCCCTAAGCACCACCTCCTTGTAGCCGCATGCCTTTGCGATGCTGGGAAAATCGATGCTGGCCGATCCTGCTTCCCAGGAGCTCCAGCGAGATGGATAATAGACAAGGTCAGATGAGATATGATGGGACAGAATGAAATCAGATGAGACAAGGTTAGTTTGGTTAGGTGAGATTAAGTTAGATATAGTTCGACAAAACGATAGATCCATAGGTCGATATACCCACAGATCAATAGATCGGTAGATCCGACAAAGATAGATAGGTAGGTAGTCAAATAAATAGTAGATAGATAGACACACATAGATAGATAAATAGGTAGATAGCGAGATAGACGAATGGACAGATAGTCAAATCAACAGATAGATAGATGAATAGCTGATAGACAGGTGGATATGTCGACCGACCGATAGGGTAACAGCGAGCTGAGCAAGCTAGGTCCAGCTAGGTAGCTAGATAAACAGACTCAGAGAAAGATAGACAGATAGATAAGTAGATAGGCGTAGAGGTAGACAGACAGATACATAGACATACAAATTGATCGGCAGATATTCAGACAAACAGATGGACAGATAGACAAACAGACAGGCCAATAGACAGGTAGACAGATAGATAGATTTGGACATACAAGAAAGGTAAGACCGGAATACTTCGTAGACAGATTAGATAATTTAGATAGATACCACAAATACGATAGGTGTAGATATAGACATAGATATAAATGCACATGTACAGATTCGGGTATAAATAAGTCAAAGAAGTTAAGAGATAGACATACGCACACATATAGATGCAGATACAGATGCAGATTTAGATTCAGGTCTAGATATAGAAACAGTTGTAGATAGACCTGAGCGTATGCCGTACCTCATCATGGCAGAAATGCCTCCACGGGTAAATCAGCAGACGATTGTGCAGCTAGGCCTGCGCTACCGTCGAGAACATCAAATCCTGATCTTGGTATAGCACACTTGAAGGATCATGGGGCTTAGCAGGTAAGGTTATAAGTATCCTAATTGGAGTTATCAGTAATTATAGGTATAGTTACTTTATTTATAACCCTAGTTGCCCTAGTTACTAAGTCCCATGATCCTTTAAGCAAGGTCTGGCAGCTGGTTGCTTCATGAAATTATCGATACACAGGCATGGAGATAGTGAGAGAGACAGAGATAGATATGTGCACATACATGTCCGTAATTCTGCAAGACACCCTAAGCCCCTACATCCTGCTATGCAGTGGGTTCTTTTTAAGAAGTGATATGGTGTCGATTTTTGTTTGGGGCGCACCCTAAACCCTAAACCCTAAATCCTAAACCCTAAACCCTCAACCCTGAACAAGAACTCAGTCCTGTGGGCTGACCGCCCACCGAATCGTGCACTGCGTTGTTGATGAGGACGTGCTTGAAGTTCCCAAG